GCCCTGCTTTGCTTCGGGAGAATTGTTCCATCTCAGACATGAGACCCTGGAACAAGACCCTCTACTAATGACATAGCCAAGATTATCCTGGGTCTCAGGACCAGTTCACTCACAGCACAAAACACCATAAAGCTAAACAGGCATCATTGTAAGGAAAGTAAATAAAAAGTTCAAAAACAATATAGCTCCAGGAGAAGTTCAAGGATGTAAAAACAAGAGGGGTAACACCCTAAACAAACCTACTGAAGGTTCTTACAGCATATCTGTTAAGTTCTTGAGGCATTAACAATTACAGTTCCAAAGCATGCAACACAACCCAGAACAGACATAAAGGTAAAATAATCCAGCTAGGGTTGCCAAGTCTGAGTTGGAAAATACCTGGAAACTTTGGGGGTGGATCCGGGAGAGGGTGGGGTTGGGGGGGGGGGGCTCAGCCTGGTCCAAGGCCACAGAGTCCGGTGAAGCGGCAGAACTAAGTTTGAGTCCGGTGGCACCTTTAAGACCAACAAAGTGTTATTCTGTTTATAAGCTTTTGTGTGCATGCACGTGCTGTGAATAAAACTTTATTGGTCTTAAAGGTGCCGCTGGACTCAAACTTTGTTCAGCTGTGAACAATAAGTTAGCAAGCAGAGCCTGCTAGGTACCTGTAAAACAACCTTGGGGACAGTCCGGGTCAGTGCTGGCGAGAGCTGCTGTCGTCCAGTGCTGACACCTGCTGTTGACTGAGTTGAATTAAAAAAGCCTAAAGGGAAAGGGAAAGGTTCCCTTGCTCGAAAGCCAGTAGGATCCGACTCTAGGGTTGCGGTGCTCATCTCCGTTTCAAAGCCGAAGAGCCAGTGCTGTCCGAAGACGTTTCCGTGGTCATGTGGACGGCATGACTAAACACCAAGGCGCACGGAACGCTGTTCCCTTCCCACCGAAGTGGTACCTATTTATCTACTTGCAATTTCTTGCTTTCGAACCGCTAGGTTGGCAGGAGCTGGAACTAGAGACGGGAGCTCACTCCGTCATGCGGCACACCCGGGTCTCGAACTGCTGAACTACCGACCTAGCAGCTGGGATTTTACCTGGAGACAGCCCATTCTGTCGGCACCCATAGACATTGTTTGGATTTCCCAAATCCTTTTGATAAAGTCCCTCACCAACTGTCCTTGAGTCATGGGATAAGAGGATAAGTCCTCTTATGGATTGGAAATTGGCTTTAAAAAAACAAAAGCAGAGTAGAACTAAAGCAGAGAGCCAGTTTGGTGCAGTGGCTAGGAGCGCGGACTCTCATCTGGGAGGATCTGGTTTGAGCCCCCACCCCTCCGCATGCAGCTGCTGGTGTGACCTTGGGTCAGTCACAAGTTCTTTCAGAGCTGTTCTCTCAAGGGCAGTTCTCGAAAGAGCTCTCTCAGTCCCACCTACCTCACAGCCAGTGCCGGATTTACGCATAAACTAAATAAGCTACAGCTTAGGGCCTCGCAATCTGCTGGGGCCTCGAATAAAAACACAATATAAAAAGTGATTTCAAATATTAAAAGGCGTATATATTTTAAATTTTTCTGAGACCAGCTGATGTAATTTAAAACAGTAGGGGGCCTCTGGGTTTTGTATAGCTTAGGGCCTCAGCAAGTCTAAATCCGGCCCTGCTCACAGCGTATCTGATGTGGGGAGGGGAAAGGAGATTGTAAGCTGCTCTGAGACTCCTTGGGGTAGTGAAGGGCGGGGTATAAATCCAGTCTCTTGCAATGGAGGGATGTGGTCAGTTCTTGCAATGGAGGGATGTGAGCTGCGGATTCCTTCAGGGATCTGTATTGGGACTGCTGCTTTTCACCTTGTAAGTGATCTGAAGTTAGAGGTAAGTAGTGAGGTAGCCAGTTTGCAGATGACATCAAATTGTTTAGGGTGGTTAAGACAAAAAGGGACGTCAAAAGAGCTTCAAAAGGATCTCTTCACACTGGGGGAATGAGCATTAAAGTGGCAAATGAGATTCCGTGCAAATGTAACGTGATATAATAACACTCATGTTCAATTTACATGCTAACTGTGACAGTAAAGCTGACATTAATAGCCTATTGGTTAGGTTTTTGAGGTTAAAAATAAAAAGTTGTGTTCTCCTTTAACATTCCAGCTTTGCTGGGTGATCATTGCTTTGTAAGGGTGATAATTCAGATGTTTCATCTGATCAAATTTTGAGTCCAGTGTCACCTTTAAGATGAACAGAAGTTTATTCAAGGTATGAACTTTCGTGGGCACGCACACTTCCTCAGATATATTGAAATGGAAGTTAACAGTTCATATATATAGGCAGATGCCTCTACATAGGTGAGCAGCAAATTAACATACAACGTAATGAAGATGTTTTGACATATGCAAAGACTAAACAGCAATAACAAGCTATATTCATATGGTCATCGTTTGTTTGGATGTAATGGGGGGACTGCTTTTCTCACAGGATCCACAAAGTTGGTGACCTCTGTATTAGGATTGCCAATTCTAGGTTTGGAAATTTTGGTGTGAAGCATGGAGTTTGGGGAGGGACAAAACCTCAGCAGAATATAATGCCATAGAATCCACACTCCAAAGCAGCCATTTTCTCCAGGGGAACTGATCTCTGTAGTTTGGGGATCTGTTGTAATTCTGGGAGATCTCCGGTTCCCCCCTGGAGGCTGGCAGCCCTATTCAGGGAAAGCCAGGAACAATCATATGAAGATGGGCGCTGCTTCTAAAAAAAAAATAGCCCACATGATGATAGTATCTAAAAAGCAATTTATATCCAGTTGTAGATGGATCAGCAACTTGACTTCATATAAAATCCAGCCACACTGCAGCTTTTTTAAAAAAAAAATTCTCTGGACACTGGAGGGAGTTGAAAGAGGTTTCTTTTGAATACATCCTACACTTTTTGGGAGTGGTTTCTTTGCTAATAGACCTTCTTAGGTTCAGGTGGATAGCTGTCCGAAGCAACAGAACAAAATTCGCATTTTTGTTCTATTTCTTCTTAGGAATATTGCTCCTTAGAAATATATATGAGAGGCTTTTTGTTTCATTGTGTTGCCATCTCTGGGTTAGGAAATAACTGGAGATTTTGGGGGTGGGCCCTGAGGAGGGCAGGTTGGGGAGGGAATCTCAGCCGGGCACAATGTGGTAGGGTCGCCAACTTCCAGGTGGTGGCTGGAGATCTCCTGCTATTGCGATTGGTCTCCAGGTGACAGAGATCAGTTCCCTGGAGAAAACGGCCATTTTTTTGGAGGGTGGCCTAAATATGGCATTATACCCCACTGAAGCCCCTCCCCAAACCCCGCCCTCCACAGGCTCCACCCCCAAACCCCCCAGGTGTTTCCCAACCCAGAGCTGGCAACCGGTGTTCCCTCTAAGCTGAGTTAGTGTGAGCTAGCGCACAGGTTTTTTTTAGCCTCTGGCTCACACATTTTCATCTTAGCTCAGGAAGGATGGCTCCAGAGCCAACTCATGTATGCAGTAGCCAAATCACTTGCTCACAACTCTAATGCCAGTAACTCACAAAGTAGAATTTTTGTTCACAAGACTCCACGGCTTAGAGGGAGCATTGCTGGCAACCCTAGTCCATTCTCTGTAGCAGCCATTTTCTCCAGGGGAAGTAATCTTGGTTGTCTGATCAACGGTAGTAGTGGGAGGTCTCCAGGGGCCGCCTGGAGGGTGGCCATCTTGGTGTAACTCTACTTAAGCTTTTGCCCTAAATCCTCTGTTTTCTCAGATCATCTGAGTGCCCCGGGGTGGACAGAATGGTGGACTGGGACCTTGAGCAACCTGAGTTCGAATCCCCACTTCCACCCTGGAAGCTCTCTGAGTGACCTTGTGGGCCCATCACAAACTCTCTGCCTGGGCTACTTCACAGGGTTGTCGTGAGAAAACCGAGGAGACGTTCTAAGCTGCTTTGAGGCCCAAATGTGAGGGCAACAGCAGGATATAAATAAATAAGTGCAAACACATGCATGATGCATGTATACAGAATATTGCAAAAAAACCCCAAACAAACCCAAGTCAGTATCCGTTGAAGAGGTTGAAGTTGAATTTAACGTGTTGTTGTTGTTGTTGTTCAGTCGCACAGTCTGGTGGAGTAGAAAAGAGCAAGAGTCCAGTAGCATCTTAAAGACTAAAAAGGTTTGTGGTAAGTATGAGCTTTCATGAGTCACTGCTCACTTCTTCAGACACAGGTAGAATGGTCCATCTGTCCTATACCTTGGAAAGTGGAGTGATTTCAGATATCAAATGACATTAGCAGGCAAATGACGACAGCAGGTGAATGACAGTAGCAGGTGTGATTGCATTCAGGTGAGCTGTGCAGAGGGGTAATAGGCATGGTGGAGAAATCAGCATTGGGAATGAGACAGGAAACCTAGGTCTTGATTCAGTCCAGGGGAACGATAGAACAGGTGGGTCAGGAGAGCAGATTATGTGCGTGACAGTAGCAGGCGTGATTGCATTTAGGTGAGCTGTGCAGAGGGGTAATAGGCATGGTGGAGAAATCAGCATTGGGAATGAGACAGGAAACCTAGGTCTTGATTCAGTCCAGGGGAACGACAGAACAGGCGGGTTAGAAGAGCAGATTATGTGCCTTTTCTTTTTGTGCAGACTTTTATGTTAATGCACGTTATTCCTTTTATCCAGAGGGGTTATCCGTGTTACTCTGTTGCTGCAAAACAGTAAAAATCCCAGTAGCACCTTTAAGACGAACAAACTTCATTGCAGCATAAGCTTTCGAGAAACACAGCTCTCTTCGGTCAGATGCTTGTGCGACAATAAAGTTTGTTAGTCTTAAAGGTGCTACTGCTGGGCTTTTTACTCCTTATTCATTTTATGAACAGTCGGGCATGGTGTGTCGTCGCTGCGCTCTCCTGAGAGGGCGGCTCAAAGCCAGTCAGGCAGCGCCCCCCGCCGCCCGTTTCCCTCCGCGCCCCCTTCGGCTTAAAAGCGACTTCTAAGCCGAGGCCTCCGGAAGCGCTCGTAGGAAGCGCAGGCCTCGGGACGCGGTTGCCATGGTGACCCCTTTCAGTGCGTCAGCTATTGTCTTCCTCCCCCTCTGCGGAACTAACGTCGCCGGCCTCCGTTTCCGGTAGGGTAGAGGAAGAGGGAGCGCACTCAAGCACACATGGTTGTCTGAGCGGCGGGTGGCGACGGGACGGGTAAGGGGAGCGCTTTGGCCGGGCTGTGCGGGAGGAAATCACCGAAGGGCAGAGACGGGGTGGCGTTTATTCCCCTCCCTCTCCGTTTTTAGTGGCTTGCTTTGTCTGGGCAAAGCCCCAGAGGTAGGGTTGCCAACCGCCTGGAGAAAAAGAAATGCCTCTTGAAGAGAGACTTGATATGTGGCAGTGGGGGAACTTTTCATGGCCTAGAACAGTAATGGCAAACCTTTTAGAGACCGAGTGCCCAAACTGCGGCCCAAAACCCACTTATTTTTCGCAAAGTGCCAACACGGCCATTTAACCTGAATACTGAGGTTTTACTTTAGAAAAAAACAACTCAGACATTAACTTAAGAGGATCCAAACAAAGTCAGGAAAGCAATCCCAAAGGCTTTCATTGACTTAAAATTATTTGGCAGAGAATTCGACACTTTAAAGATGGTCTGGGCCTGGCTGGGGCGATGGCACGCGTGCCCACAGAGAGGGCTCTGAGTGCGTCCTCTGGCACCCGTGCCATAGGTTCGCCACCACTGGCCTAAAAGGAAGTCGCGTCCTCTGGTGAATAGCGTGAGATTGTGCTCCTTTGCCCAGGGAAGTCGCCGCGTTAGTCAGTTGCAGCCCAAATAAACCAGGAACCTGGTGGGACCATAACGAGGGTTGCCAGCCCCCAGGTGAACTTAAGAACATAAGAGACGCCAATGTTGGATCAGGCCAATGGCCCATCCAGTCCAACACTCTGTGTCACACAGTGGCCAGAAATACCAGGTGCCATCAGGAGGTCCACCAGTGGGGCCAGGACATTAGAAGCCCTCCCACTGTTGCCCCCCCCCCCAAGCACCAAGAATACAGAGCATCACTTGCCCCAGAGCCCCTAGCTATACCTTGTGGCTAATAGCCACTGATGGACCTCTGCTCCATATGCCTATCTAATTCCCTTTTGAAGCCGTCCATGCTTGTAGCCACCACCACCTCCTGTGGCAGTGAATTCCATGTGTTAGTCACTCTCTGGGTGAAGAAGTAAATAGTGGGGGCTGAAGACCTCCCGGAATTACAACTGATTTCCAGACTGCCTCAATCGCTACCTAAATGGCTGCTTTGGAAGGTGGATTGTGTGGTGTTATTCCTTACCACAGCCCCCCTCCCCAAAGCCCACTTCTCTAGGCGCCGCCCTCAAAATCTCCAGGTATTTCCAGAGCTGGAGTTGACAACCTAATCGTGAGGATTAATACAATTTTATTTCAGCACAAGCTTTTTGTGAACTATTTCTTGTGCCTGTAGATTCAGATGCAATGGCTGGGTCTTGGGTTGACTTTGTGCAGGAGATTTTTTTTTTTTAAATACACCCTTTGTCGTATGTACTACATATTTATTTATTTCCTTTAATTTGTACCCTGCCCTCCCTGCTAAGGGAGGCTCAGGGTGGCTAACATCATAAAAACACAAAAACAATAAAAACAGTTCAATAGCAATTCATTCAAACTAACTTACAATATATTAAAGTGCTAGCTGTTAACATATAATATCAAAGATGGCTTAATACGTTCTATTGATTCAGTTGATATTCAGCTGGTTGGTTTTTCTCTGCCAAGTGGGAAACCACTCAATGTATCTTAATGGGTGGGCTATGGTCTGCAAGAACATATGTGGGAGTGTCGTTATTTTAGCCTTTAGAGGTAGCTGCAATTTTCCTGGCTACTTTTTTGGTAAAACTCATTTGTCCACGTCCTTGTTCATTGCTGAATATTTCCAGAAGTAGAATGACCACATGAATGGTTCAAGAAATCAATGGTAAAATGTATTTAATGTGTGTACTTAATTCATCGATACCCGGCATTTCTCCCCAATGAGAAACCATGGTGGCTTATATCATTCTCCTCCATGTCATTCTCACAGCAATTCTTTGAAGTACCTCAGGCTAAGAGTGTGTGACTGACCCAAGGTCACCTAACAAGTTTCCATGCTGGCTCTCTGTAGTTAAAAAAAAAGAAAAGTAAAAGGTGCCATCGGTTGCCCACGTGGGGTAGTGTTTAGGTGGTTGGACCAGGATCTGGGAGACCAAGTTTCGAATCCCCACTCTGCCTTAGAAGCTTGCTGGGTGGCCTTGGGAAAGTTGCACATGCTTACCTCACAGGGCTGTTGTGCTGATAGACTGGAGAAAAGGAGAATGTTGTAAGCCACTTTGGGTTCCCATAGGAGAGGAAATTGGGGGCACGAATGGTGTAAATAAATAAATATTTTTTGCAGCCACATAACTACATTGAAACCTTTCAATTATTCCCCATTTTTGTGAGCCTAAACATAATTAGATCGGCTTTTTCTGCTGTTTTTCCTGATTTTGTTTCTAAAATCAAAAAGAAATGGTAGGAACCAGCTCCGATGAACCATTTCCAAGGTTCCCATTCACCTGCTCCCACAGTATTTGCTGAAGTGGGAAAAACACCATCCTCCAGAAAGAAGGATGGTGTTTTACAGGAAGAGGGACTAATTTCCTGTCTCTGGTGTTAGTGAAGCGGTGGCATCATTTGGCATCTCTACTTCTTTTGGTGTTTTTGCATTGTGTATGTGCCCCTAATGCCTGGAAGTCATGGTGACCTCTGGCGACTCCTACTGGGGCATGGAGGACATTCAGAAAAGTGACTTGATAGCCTGTCTCTGATTCTGGTATCCTTTGGAGGTCCTCCATCCAAGTACTTGCCAGAGTCGGCCCTGCTTAGCTTCCGAGATCTGAGAAGATCGGGCTTGCCTGAGCTATCCAGGTCAGGGCCAATTTGGTATCTCTTCTGTGCAAGATACGCCATGTAAGGTATAGCACAGCTCGATGTTCAACTAACGATAATGACCGCCCTATTAGCATACACTTTTATTTCACTTGTATCTCAGTGTTTCTAGATTTGGCTTCTTGCATTTGTGCAACTGCATTGTTTTTATTCAGCTGTACCCGAGCTGTACTTGAGCTGCGGTGGCTCAAGTGGTTAAGACGCTGAACTGCAGGCTGTGGAAGGTCGGTAGTTCAGCAGTTCGAGACCTGAGTGTGCCGCATGACGGAGTGAGCTCCCATCTCTAGTTCCAGCTCCTGCCAACCTAGCAGTTCAAAAGCAAGAAGCTGCAAGTAGATAAATAGGTACCACTTCGGTGGGAAGGTAACAGCGTTCCGTGCTCCTTGGTGTTTAGTCATGCCGGCCACGTGACCACGGAAACGTCTTTGGACAGCGCTGGCTCTTCGGCTTGGAAACGGAGATGAGCACTGCAACCCTAGAGTCGGATTCGACTGGCTTTCGAGCAAGGGAACCTTTACCTTTACCCGTAGGAAAGATACCTCCTTGCTTGTGTGCAGAGACGGTGTTCATTAAAGCTTTATCGTGTTTTATTTTGCATAGGATAGCGTTGTAGCCTCGCTATAACCCCAGGAGAGAGGTTTTGGTGGAGGCCATCCAGCAAGCTTCATAGCCAAGCAGGGGTTTGACTCCGGCCTTGTCACGTCCAGGCCCAGCACTTGTAAAGCTGTATTGAATTACTAGCTCTCTTACAGTGCCGTCCTACGCAGAGTTCTTTCATTCGCCTTGATTTTGCTGGGCTTAGGCTGGCATATCTCTGCATAGGATTGCATTGTCAGTACTGGTCAGGGATTTTCATGTAGAAGAGAAGAAGAGATTGGATTTATACCCTGCCCTTCACTACCCAAAGGAGTCTCAGAGCGGCTTACAAACTCCTTTCCCTTCCCCTCCCCACAACTGACACCCTGTGAGGTAGGTGGGGCTGAGAGAGCTCTTGACAGAAACTGCTCTTTTTCAAGAACACCTCTGACAGAACTATGGCTTGCCCAAGGTCATCCAGCCAGGTGCAAGTGGAGGAATGGGGAATCAAACCCGGTTCTCCCAGATTAGAGTCCGTGCACTTAAGAAGAAGAAGAAGAAGAGATTGGATTGATACCCCGCCCTTCACTACCCGAAGGTGTCTCAGAGCGGCTTACAAACTCCTTTTCCTTCCCCTCCCCACAACAGGCACCCTGTGGGGTAGGTGGGGCTGAGAGAGCTCTTGACAGAAACTGCTCTTTTTCAAGGACAGCTCTTATCAGAGCTGCGGCTTGCCCAAGGTCGTCCAGCCAGGTGCAAGTGGAGGAGGAGTGGGGAATCAAACCCGGTTCTCCCAGATCAGAGTCTGCGCACTTAACCACTGCACCAAACTGTAATTGTTGGAGCCATGGTTGAATCAAGAAATGAAGGGATGGTAGTAAGAGATCGTACGTTCTGGTGACTGAGAGAATTTGGGTGCGGGTGAATCACTGGATTGAATGCGTGGCGTTCTTCTCTTCGTACGCGGGAGGAGACGTGGCCAGCCTTCCACAGAACGCTTTTCCTTCAAAGTGAGATTCGATCAGTGCAGAACAGCAGCTGCTGTCAGTGCTGATTCCTTTTTCATTCCATTTGAAGTGAGGTTTTATGCGCTTCCCGGTTTAAAGACTGCCTTCTGTGCTGTAAAATGGCACCCAAAACAAAGTACAGCCACCGGGGGGGAAAATGTGATAGGAAAGAACGGGGCATGTTCGTGTTTAATGAATGAATTGATACGGTTCTTCTCGCTGTGAGCTTTGAGCTGCTGCGGGGGCTTTATGGTTGCCGGCCTCCAGGTGGGGTCTTGAGAGCTCCTGGAATTGTAACTGATTTCTAGACTTAACAGAGCTCAGTTTCCCTGGAGAATATGGATGCTTTGGAGGGTGGGCTCTATGGCATTAGACCCCCCTGCTGAGCGCCCTCTGCTCTCCCTCCCCTGTCCAAATCTCCAAGGATTTCCCAACCTACAGTTGGCAACCGTAATGGGCTTGGATACAGACAAGTTGCCTTATGATGCCCCACCAACTCTCTCATTGCAAAATCATCTGTTGTCTTGTGTTGGAGTTGTGCATGCAGCCCAATCCAAGCACATTGTTTAACTTTGCATCACTGTATAGTTATTGCAGGTTTATAACTTTCCTTATTCTTAAAAAACAGGACTCAGGATCTGAAGACAAAAAAGCATCACATTCCAGTGGTCGATCGCACTCCCTTAGAGCCACCACCGGTCGTGGTGGTGGTGGTCGGCCCTCCGAAAGTAGGGAAGAGCACCTTGATAAGATGTCTCATTAAGAATTCCACCAGGCAGAAGTTGGTTGAAATTCGGGGCCCCGTCACAATTGTGTCAGGTAAGAATTGATATGAGCCCATGGTGAAGCATGTTTGCATTTATAGCTGATCCAAACTGTAGTTCGGACATCACACCAAACTGTGGTTCGGGTTAGCTGCGGTTAGAGCCCAAACCGTGGTTGGGAGTGTCCAGATGTACAACAGACAAACAATGGCTTCTCTACACTGGTTAGCCATAGCTTGGTTTGTCAATTCAGACTTTTTGAGAAAGCACGGTTAGTTCGCAAACATAGTTTATACTCACTTCAAACCATGGTTTCTGATTCTGCTTTACTGGTCAGCAGTAAAATATGAATTGTCGGTTCACGCATCCTGTCAAATCACAGTTGCGTGTCCTTGACCATGTTTGGTGTGGTGTTCGAATGGAGTTACTGTTTGGCCTGAGTTGGGAAATCTAGTGCTTCTCTTGGCCTTGTACCTTTGAAGATACCTTTTAAGTTTATAAGTGTATATAGAATACAAATCTTTTATTGAATAGTACACATCCAATAGATTGGTTTGGATCCAGATATTCGTGTAATATTCACTTTCGGAAGGTTTTTGCGATCTGCGCCCTACTGATTGGTTATTGCTCTTGCTGAAAAATAGACATACTCTCAAGAGCTTGAAGGTTACTGCTCTGTATAGGCTATTTCCTGAGGAAGAATTCCATTTGAAACATTGAAAATAATCTGGAAACGACGTTGAATAGGAATTTTCTTATGGTATATTGTACATTGCATCCATTTCAAACAGACATTGTTTACTGTTTAAAAAGATGCATTTCAAACAGACATCCCTCATTGCATATACAAGTTGTCTGACTATTGATACTTTGGGGTCTGATGTTCAGGGTTGTTTTCTGATTTTGTTTGCAACTCTAGTCTGTGTTTATCATTATTTATTTTGGTGCCCATGGTGCCTGTCAAGTGTTTTTAGGAACTGGGGTAGGGCTTTTGCTCAGCAAGGTTTCTGATTGACTATTGGAGATTTCATTAGCTGAGCAGATTTTTTTTAGATATTGATTTGGCAGCAGCTTTCACAACAGCAGAAGGATCTACACCGTGTCACTGGAGTTATCCTGTGGCCATCATTTTGTGGTTGGCCCCATCTCCTGCGGCAGCCGTTTCGTGGCAGCTGTTTTGTTGTGCCCACTGTGCAGTGTCAGTATTCCAAATGTGCCCGCAGGCTAAAAAGGCTGGGGGGTGGTGGCCCTGTTGTAAGCCAACCATTCTCCTTAACTCAAGAAAGAACATGCAAAAGTGCATCTCATTAGCATGATCAGCTCTGAAGAGACGTTAACTCAGAAGTTTTGTTGAAAATGAAACAAAGGTGTTGGAAGTGAACGGCACAGGAGAATGAAAAAAGAAACAAATGATTTTTATCCATCAGTCGCTGATTTGTGCAGAATCCAGCCTTTTTAAGTACAGTTGTTTTTAATAGGAGAGAATGAAGTCCTTAGGAAACTGTCCTGTCTAAATCAGTATCACTTTAAAGTGTCTTTTACGTTTTGGCAGGATTGAGTAGCTTATTTGTCAATCTTTCCAGGAAGATGAGTGCTGCTTTAAAAACAACGTTATGATGACTGGGCCTTTAATTTGTACAGTGGTTCTCTCCCATTATTTTCCAGTTGCTTTATTGTCCATACCAAAGGTAATATCCACCAGTAAAACTAAAACTAAAAATAAATCATAGCGGTCATCCATATTACCAGAACTTTTGAGGCATCTTAAAAGCCGCTATGGCACATAAAACGATATAAGTTGTGTGTCTCTTCTTGACTTTGTTATGCTAAATCTTTTTCTGCAAACCAGGGACATTGTTCATCAGATGTCTCTGTTATTTTTAAGAGTCCCATGTGCTGGGTGGATTGTATATAATAATGGCAGACAGATGGGGCCAATGCCCAATACATAAAACATTAAAACTGCATTTTAAAAACATTCAATATAACATAGGTGCTCTCCACAATATTGTGTGATGAAACATTGTTCATCAGACAACGTCTCTGTTTCTCTGCTGAGTCCCACGTGCTGGGTGGATTGTATATAACAAAATATTTTAATGTTTCTATCATGAGCCCTGTTCAATATATTTGATTTTAGCTGGGAATTGAGGAAAACAAATTAATTTGTTTCACTAACAAGGTTGTTATATGGCAGCAGGTCTGGATGTCAGTTTATAAATAAATAGTTTAGCAGTTATGGGAATGATCTGTTCACCCCGCAATCAAGTCCAGTGGCACGTTAAGAGACCAGCAATGTGTTTGGGGTATAAGCTTTCAAGAGTTAGAGCTCTGTTTGTCAGACAGCCCCCGTGGTGGTCAGGCAAACCTCTCTTGGCTGTCCCACCAGTTAGAGTGTCCTGTCTGGCGTTGACCAGAACCCGGGCTTTTACCATCATGGCTCCGGCCCTGCAGAAGGGGCTCTCTGAAGAGGCGAGAGGGGGATCCCTCCTCAGTGATCTTCCAGAGGCGCTACAAGGCCTGCCTGTTGCCCAGGGTTTCTGAGAGAGTCTAAATGGCAGCCATCTTTTAAGGGGGGGAGACTTGGGACCAGTGTTCCCTCTAAGATGAGTGAGTGTGAGCTAGCTCACAGTTTTTTAGCCTCCAGCTCACACATTTTTTTGTCTCGGCTCAGGAAGGAGGGCTCCAGAGCAAACTGATTGATGCAGCAGCCAAATCGCTGGCTCACAACTTTAAGGCCAGTCGCTCGCAAAGTAGAATTTTTGCTCACAAGACTCCACAGCTTAGAAGGGAGCATCGGACTTGCTATTTATTGATTTTAGCTGGGGACACTTCCCTGTAAGCTGCCTTGAACCAAGAGAGAAGGCAGGATATTAATATTTTAATAAATAAATCTATCCCCGACCTGAAAATGTGTTTACACTTTGCAACACAATACTGAAGGTTGCCGTGTTTTGCCCTTCCCCTTTCTTTACAGGCAAAAAGCGTAGGCTGACCATCATTGAGTGTGGATGTGACATTAATACGATGATTGACCTGGCGAAAGTTGCTGACTTGGTGAGTGGCTGGGTATGGAGAGGCACATTTTCCGGGGCGGGGGTGGGGCATGCTTAATTAACCAAAGGGTACAGTTCATCCTTGTATCGTTCCACTAGAATTGAGCTCTAAAGCCGTAGCATTAGGCTGCGTTCCCTTCCGTTCACATTTGGGAGTCAAGTCCCACCGAATCCTGAGTAAACCAACATAGAACTGCACTGCCTGCCATTTGGAAAGGCCTTGACCAATGTTTGTTTTGTATAGAAAAGGGATTTTTCAGATATACTTTGTAGTGGTACAAGTATGGACAGCTTCAAGAGGGAATTACGGAGCAGAGATCCATCAGTGGCTATTAGCCTCAAGGTATAGATAGGAATTCTCAGGCTGGGGCAAGGGATGCTCTGTATTCTTGGTGCTCGGGGGGGGGGGTCAACAGTGGGAGGGCTTCTAGTGTCCTGGCCCCACTGCTGGACCTCCTGATGGCACCTGGTATTTTTGGCCACTGTGTGACGGAGTGTTGGACTGGATGGGCCAGTGGCCTGATCCAACATTGGCTTCTCTTATGTTCTTATAAGAGGGAATTGGATAAACATATGGAGCAGAGGTCCATCAGTGGCTATTAGCCACAAGGTATAGATAGGAACTCACAGACTGGGGCAAGTGATGCTCTGTATTCTTGGTACTCGGGGGGCAGTAGTGGGAGGGCTTCTAGTGTCCTGGGCCCACTGCTGGACCTCCTGATGGCACCTGGTATTTTTGGCCACTGTGTGACAGAGTGTTGGACTGGATGGACCATTGGCCTGATCCAAAATTGGCGTCTCTTATGTTCTTATGCTCATATTGGGGGTGGTCTTCTTAGGATAGTGGTCTTAAAACTTTAGAATCCCTAAATCCTTTGGAGCTGTCTCTGAAGTCTACCTTAAGATCTTCATCCAGTGGCTTTGTTCCAGAAGCCTCTCACAACTGAATGGAGGCCGCTGGCTGCTCTGGGCAGGGCCTTCTTAGTGACGGTGCCACAGCTGTGCAGCTGTCTTCCCCAGGCTTGCTGAGTACAATCCCCATTATTTTTGTTCCAGGCTAAGATTTTTTTTTATTACTTAAAAGGATTGAAATCATTTGGTAAGCTTTTATTTGTTGTTATGAGAAACTGGTGCTCTTGGAGATTTTAGTTACCGCTGTTCTCTTTAATCGCATTTCATTCGGATTTTTATTGTTTCTTGCTGCTTATTCTTGCTGCTTTATTATTATGCTGCTATTCTTCAATGTTTTATGGGTCTAGATATTTAATATTGGGTTTGGAAAGTGTTTTGGGCAAGGCAGGGTCAACCTTTTAAGTATGCCTTTGTGTAAGACTTTTCTCTTAAAGGCGTTCATTAGCTGCTTAACTGTCTAGTTGTTCTGTTTAGTTGCATTAGCTGCTTAACTGTCCAGTTGTTCTGATTCTCTTTATACTTGTTTGGCAGTTTTTACGTGTAGTTTATTGGAAACCACTGAATTTCAAAGAAGAGCGAAGTATAACATTTAAAATAACTCAACATGTGTTACTGTGATTAATGAATTGTTTTTCTGTTTAAATAAAACAAGCTTGTTGTACGTTTCCTCTTAACTGGACCCATCTGACCCTCTTTGTCAATTCTCTTAATCTCATAAAGCCTTCTCGTCGTCTCTGTCTCCCGATGAGGGCACAGAGCGCCGCATCTTTCTCCAAAGGAAAATCAATGGTTAATTTCAGCAGAAAGTAAGCTAGGTGCCTATTTTTCAACCGCCGTTCTTCTCCCTCAGGTGTTGATGCTCATCGATGCCAGTTTCGGATTTGAAATGGAAACGTTTGAGTTCCTGAACATTTGCCAGATACACGGCTTTCCGAAAATCATGGGCGTGCTTACGCACTTGGATACCTTGAAGAATAACAAACAGCTCAAGAAGACGAAGAAAAGATTGAAACACAGATTCTGGACAGAAGTGTATCAGGTAACGTTGTCTCAGTCACTTGAGACAAGCGACAGACTCTGTGAAATGTTACCTAGAAGTGAAGAAAACCAGCTTAGCTCGGTAGTTGTGTGGTAAACCACTGTCGCTGATAGGCTTAGGGTTCTTGGCCTGTTCCTGGCTGCTGCTCAGCTGGCCGAAGCATGTCTCAACATGCTGATGTCGCTGCTCGTGAGCCCGGAAATGATGTCAGCACATTGCTGGGGGCTGCCGGGGACGTTCTAGTATGTTGGTAAAACTCTATGGTTAGACTATAGAGCAGGGTGGTGCCCATAGGTGCTATGACACCCTCAACGTGTCTTCCTGACACCTGGCAAATGTTTTTAGGAAGTGGGTAAGACTAGATAGGACCTTTGCTCATCAAGGGTTTCGATTGGCTGTGCAGGCTGGGTTTCAAACTGGGGGGGGGGGCTCGGCTCATAGCCCAACACTCTAAAACCTCTAACCCAGGGGTCCCCAACCTTTTTTGAGGCTGGAGGCACTTTTGGAATACTGAGGTGGCACAGACACAAAATGGCTGCTGCGGTAGGCGGAGCCAGGCACAAAATGGCTGCTGCACCTTACCTTTGGTCACTTTGTGAAGATTTCTTGTGCTGTGGTGGCAGCTGCCGCCAAGACAACGTTTTTAAGAACGTGCACAGCCAATCAGATCTCCAGTGGCTGGTCAGAAGCCTTATTGGCTCAAAGCCCGTCTGGCCCTGCCCACTTTTTATAAAACACTTGGTAGGCACCAGGAAAGATGTCAGTAGGCACAATGGTCCCCATCGCCACCACTTTGGGCACCCCTGCTGTAACCACTGTACTATGCTGGGGGCTTGCTGGAAAACACGTGGAATGCTTTGCTTCCGTTGTCATAAAGTACCTGTGCTTTTTTAATCCTTTGATTTGGGGATTTTTCCCCCAGGGTGCCAAGCTGTTCTATCTCTCTGGCATGGTACATGGAGAATATCAAAAGCAGGAAATCCACAACCTGGGGCGCTTCATCTCGGTGATGAAATTCCGTCCCCTTACATGGCAGACGTCTCATCCATACGTTCTGGCAGACAGGTAATTCCCCTTTGCTCTTCTGCTTTCCTTCTGTGCTCCTCAATACTTGGGCCCCGGTCACACGGGCCGGGTATCACGGCTGGGGAGGCGTGGCTAATTGCCCCGGCGCAGTTTGATCTGCGATTACGCGATCAGACGCACCGGCGGGCCCAATGTTCCCTCTAAGCTGTAGACTCTTGTGAGCAAAAATTCTACTTTATGAGCTACTGGCATTAAGGTTGTGAGTGAGCAATTTGGTTACTGCATAAATTAGTTTGCACTGGAGCCATCCTTCTTGAGCTATGACAAAAATGTGTGAGCCAGAGTCTAAAATATTGTGAGCTAGCTCACACTAACTCAGCTTAGAGGGAACACTGCCGGCGGCACACCACAGGTCCGTCCCTCCGCGCCGGCGGGTAAACGAGGGTGGCGATCACACGACAATCCTGCAGCACAGCAAAGAAGCGGCGCGGCGCGATCACACCAGCAATGGCTAGGCGGCGCTGCTGTGACAAACGGGGACATTTAATTTTTTTAAAGCCAAAACGGCACTTTCGCTTTCCTCTTTGTGCGCATGCGCCGTTGGGTGCTTGTGCGCATCTTGTGAAGACTTGGGGGGGAAACCCTGTTTGCGAAGGGACATGGGCGGGCGCCGGATGCCACCACCGGAAACGCGATCAGGCGCCCGCCCTTGCCCCGCGCTTTCCGGAAACTAGTACCTCGGAGGTACTAGTTTTTAACTCTGCATCTTCAGCGGGAAGCCTCGGGTTCGCCACGGGAGCTCTACGCTTCCCAGATGTTGCGGTGTGATCGCGCCCGGAAAATCCGCCTATCTTCCGCCTCTGTAGCGTGGCTAATGCTCCGTGTGACTGCAGCCATAGTTGATTTTTAAATAATGTTTTAGCACGGACTGCATGTTTCTGGCAGTTGATGCTGGCTGAGTCAATGCTGTAGAACAGTTCTATTTTCGAGACTTAAAGCAGTTTAGCCAACCCAGCATCTTTAGATCCAGGGGCATAAATGGGGGGGGGGCAGTGGGACCCAAACCTTCCCCGGATTTCCAGAGGGGGCAGTGCCCCCCCCCCCGGCTGCCAAGTAGCATCACGAAACTGCTTAGGCTTAAAATGTGCAGTCTCATCCTCTCCATCCATACAGAGGCTACCAGTTCTGCTTTCTTTCTCTGGGACGTTGGGTCATTTACTTGCCACACAGTACCCTCCACTCCCTTCCCTTATTTTGTCCTTGGGATCTTTGGAAGTTCTGCCTAAAACATCCACTCCGGTCATCTTCAGAGGTCTTGCTTCGATTGCCACCGCCTTCTGAAGCTAGACAGGTAGTGACCCAGGAAAGGGCTTTCTCAGTCGTTGCACCAGAACTTTGGAAGTGCCTCCCCAGGGAGAATCATTTGTCTCCCTCTGTCGCGAAGAGTCGGACTCGACTGTGCGACTGGAGAACAACAGCAACAATCGATGTTTTCTGCCAGTGGGTAAATTTTAAATGTCATTTTTAATTTTTTGAATTTTTAAATATGTTTTTAATGCCTTGGGGACCCTGTTTGGGTGGAAACGCAGCACAAAAACATTTTATAAAACAGCAGTGGAGAGAGCAGAAGTAGCCGTAGCAGAAATCCACAGGCTCACTTATGATCTGGGGTCCTTTCCCTGGCACAGGAAGCTATTTGGGTGAGTCTAAGGAGCGTGCCCAGGATAGGTATCAGAGCTGCGTGGGATTGCTCCTCTGGGGGTATATAGAGTGATGGGTGCATCCAGTGTGACGACACGGGCTTTCAAAGCACGCCGCAGTCGCCTTTGAGTCTCACTAGCATGCCCTAGCTCACACTGAAGAAATGGCTGATGGATATTCTAGTGTTGGGGCGATCGGAGTTGTTTGGCCCAACAAATGATGGGGCTTGTGTTTGTCCTTTAGGGATGGGTAAGCTGTGCCCTGACCTGGACGGCCAGGCTAACCTGATCTTGTCAGATCTGGGGCTAACCTTTAAGGCCGTGGTTCTGGTACTAACTTTTAAGGTCCTGGCACCAACCTTTGGTGCCGCATGACGGAGTGAGCTCCCGTCTCTCATTCCAGCTCCTGCCAACCTAGCAGTTCGAAAGCAAGGAATTGCAAATAGATAAATAGGTACCACTTCGGTGGGAAGGTAACAGCGTTCCATGTGCCTTGGTGTTTAGTCATGCCAGCCACATGACCACGGAAACGTCTTTGGACAGCGCTGGCTCTTCGGCTTTGAAACAGAGATGAGCACTGCTACCCTAGAGTCGGATTCGACTGGCTTTCGAGCAAGGGAAACCTTTACCAACCTTTAAGGCCCTAAACGGTCTGGGGCCAGCATATCTACAAGACCACATCTCCTGGTATACCCCCAGAAGTGCACTACGCTCTGAGGAGAGAAACCTTCTGGTGATCTCTGGCCCAAAAGACATCCAGCTGTCCGCAATGAGAGCCGGGGCCTTTTTGGCTTTGGCCCCGGCCTGGTGGAACTCTCTGCCAAATGACACCCATGCCCTGTGGGGTCTAGTGCAGTTCCGCAGGGCCTGTAAGACAGAGATGTTCCACCAGGCCTGTGGTTAGGGTTGCCGGATCTTACCTGGCTGCTGCTGTGGGGGGGGGGGAGAGTTTCAGCCTCACTCCGTGAGTCGTCTGGTGCGCGCACCATGATAACATCACCCAGAGGTGATGTCATCACACTGGGCACGGCAGGCTGTGACCATAGAGTTTCCCCCCAAATGCTAGAGTGTCCCCTGCACGACATGCCTGGTGTGATGATGTTGCCTGCAGGGCGGGACAGGGCTCTTTGGGGACGGGGCTCCCCTGCTGGCCGGTGGTGGATTGCGGCCCCTGAAATTGGGGGGAAACCCCGCCCCCATCAGTGGGGGTAGCAACCCTACCTGTGGTTTGGGACAGCCCTGGTTTCCACTCAGCCCGGCCTCTTCCTGCTTCCCTCCTCCCCGCGGGGTTAAGGACATAAACTGGTCTTTAATCGCCATCAGCAAGATTGATAGAATTGTCCGTTGTTTTTAAATTGTGTTGTTTGAAATGTGTATGTTTTACTGAAATGTTTATCGAAGTGTTGTATACTGCCCTGTGCAGAGGGGAGGGCGGTCTACAGATCAAATAAATAATAATAATCTTGGAAGCTAAGCAGGGTCGGCCCAGGAGACCACCCAGGAAGTCCACGGTTGCTACGCAGAGGCAGGCCATGGCAAACCACCTCTGTTGAGCTCTTGCGTTGAAAAGAAGAAGAAGAGAAGAGAAGAAGAGATGGGATTTATACCCCGCCCTTCACTCGGAGTCTCAGAGCGGCTTACAAATTCCTTTCCCTTCCCCTCCCCACAACAGACACCCTGTGAGGTTCCTGTGAGGGAGGTGGGGCTGAGGGAGCTCTGACAGAAACCGATCTTTTTCAAGGACAGCTGTGCCAGAACTAGGGCTTGCCCAAGGTCATCCAGCCAGGTGCAAGTGGAGGAGTGGGGAATCAAACCCAGTTCTCCCAGATTAGAGTCCGCGCACTTCACCACGACACCAAACTGGCTAAGGAAGTCCAGGGTTGCCCCGCAGAGGCAGGCAATGGCAAACCAACTCTGTTCCTCTCTTGCCTCGAAAACCCCATGAGGGGTTGCCATAAAGTGGCCGTGACCTGCCGGCACTTTCCACCGCCCCTGAGCACCTGTGTGGTGCCGATCCTGGCAAATGCCGAGGAGAGGAGTGTAAAATTCAGCAATGTTGCAATAGCAAAGAAGGGGGAATAGCTTAAGAATGTGAATTGATTAAGTGAAGCACTTGAAAGAGAGAGCGAGGCCTATAACATCAGGTTAATGTCGTGTGCCTGGTATTTCCCACATTGCCCTTCCCAAACGTTTGGAGACCCTAACTCTGAAACCTCTTCCTTTATGCCGTAGGATGGAAGATCTGACTAACCCAGAAGATGTCCGAGTTAATCCAAAGTGTGATAGGAAGGTTTCGCTTTACGGCTACTTAAGAGGAGCATACCTGAAAAACAAAAGCCAGATACACATACCAGGTGGGATGTGCGCCTTCCTTTCTGTATGTGTGTATGTGTTGTTATCAAAGGGACCCTCAAATCTTAATAATGCTTTATGCCTGTGCATTAATCCAGTGGGGAACATGGTTTTAAAAAAGCAATCCAGCCAATCAGGGATTGAGGGGGTGTGGTTAACTGAATCCAGGCATCTGCTCCTCTGTTTGCTGCCGGGTTAGTTTTTCCAAATGGCTCTGTGCCCACAGCAGGATGAAAACATGGAACTGTGCGCACGGGATTTGATTCCACAGCTATAGATGTGGAAACCTGCTTCTCTGTGCCAAGTGCCGCTAGCAGGATTGGTCTGGTGGTACTCCCAATGTATAGCTTTAAACAATCACACCAGACCATTGAAATTAAGAATTATGGAACACATTAAAACAAATAAACGTCAAACAAGGGAAGCACCACTTACAGAGCATTTTGCCTCTCAAAACCACAAAGAAGATCAGTTTAAATGTGGTGTGCTCTTTGTTGCAGACTCAAAATGCCCATTGGCTGTGAAGGAATTACTTCGTCAGGAACACAGGTGGATCTTTAAATTAATTAACCATGAGTCTTGCTCTTTTCTACTGCTACAGACAGACTAACATGGCTGCCCATCTTGATCTGTCTTCACGGAGGAGAGAAAAAGCAATCTAAGAAAGGCAGGGCATAAATGAAGTTAGTTAATTAATTAACTAACTAAGAAGGGCAGGGCATAAATGAAGTTAGTTAACTAACTAACTTAGTTAGTTAATTAACTAACCAAGAAGGGCAGGGCATAAATTAAGTTAATTAATTAATTAACTAACTTCATTTATGCCCTGCCCTTCCTAGATTGCTTTTTCTCTCCTCCGTGAAGACAGATCAAGATGGGTAGCCGCGTTAGTCTGTCTGTAGCAGTAGAAAAGAGCAAGACTCCGGTAGCACCTTAAACTCTACAAATTTGTGGCAGGGGATCAGCTTTCGCGAGTCACTGCTCACTTCCTCACGAAAGCTCCTGCCCTGCCACGGATTTTGTTAGTCTTTCAGGTGCTACTGGACTCTTGCTCTTTTCTCCTTCATTCAGTCCTCACAACAACCCTGTGAGGTAGGTTAGGCCGGGAGCGTGTGACTGGTCCAGCAGGCTTCCATGGCCCAGTAGAGAATTGAACCGGGGCATCCAAGATCCTCATACGACACTCGACCCACTGCACCCCCACCGGCCCTACCCTTATTAACGGTCCCTTGTCCGGCATCTCTTGTGACTTCCATCTCTCTTCCGCCAGGTGTTGGGGACTTCACTGTGAGCGATGTGGCTTTCCTGCCAGACCCCTGTGCGCTCCCGGATCACCAGAAGAAGCGGTCCTTGAACGAGAAGGAGAAGCTCATCTACGCGCCGCTGTCCGGCGTCGGAGGTTTGGTGTATGACAAAGATGCCGTCTACATTGACCTGGGGGGAAGTCATGCCCGGCAAGAGAGAGAGGTAAGGGCAAAGGGCCGTGGCCAATGTTCCCTCTAAGCTGTGGAGTCTTGTTAGCAAAAATCCTATTTTGTGAGCTACTAGCATTAAAGTTGTGAGCGAGTGGTTTGGCTACTGCATAAATTAGTTTGTTCTGGAGCCTTCCTTTCTGAGCCAAGACAAAAACGTGTGAGCTGGAAGCTAAAAAGCTGTGAGCTAGCTCACACTGACTCAGCTTAGAGGGAACACTGGCCATGGCTCGATTCTTTCCTCTTTCCGTGCAACAGCCACTTCTTCTAGGTTTCTTGCCCGTTCTTGAAAGAAAGGCAGCTTAGCCTGTGGCGTGCTTGCTATTTGGGGGGACTGTTTTTCCTTTAAACCACCCTCTGTGTATATAAACTTGGTAGTTTTCTGCTGCCACCAGGAATTAAAAATCCCAAATCTCTCTCTTTTGGTAGCATGACCCAGGGTCTGGGCACTTCAAAGGGCTATGCGGCCCTGAGGAAGGACTGTACTAATTTCTGGGATATGTTTAAACAAAAATTGATTTATCGAATAAAGGAACAAAATAGGTTTCTGGTTATCTTGAACTGTTTCTGGAAAAAGGAACTTGTAAACATAACTGGCAAGGTGTCACACACAGTCTCTCAGCCACCAAAATTCCACGCTGACAGGCTTCTCTCTCTCATATACGTAGCCAATATATTGGACTGGGGCAGGTAGACCTGTTCTCCGCAGGCCTGGTCTACCCCTGTAGAGGCTCGCAAGGATGAGAATGGCCTCCTTTCAGGAGAGCCTGTTCTTTCTGTGTCTGTGTGACTCACTTTGTGTACACCTCCTATTTGGAAGCTGGCAAGGTCAGAGCAGTGATTCATGCAGAGACACACCGGGCACCCTTCTCTCAGCCTTCTCCCTTTGAACACATGATGGACACATGCCCCTCAGAGGAGGGGGAATGGACAGTGCTGTGTGTTGAGGGATTCTAGGAGCCAGGACTTTTTCTGGGTCACACACACACATCCCAGTTCCCCTGAGTACTTTCATTGGTTGGGTGGAGACTGGGAAGGGACTGCATCCAGTATAGAGACAATGGCTCCTACACCGTGCGTCGATTTATTCCGTTACACACATTCAAGACACAAAACACTTTGTAGGATTTCAGTATTCAACACGGAATATTTGAGCCCAATACTTAAAATAAAGCACTTGTATAAAAGCTGCGGTGGCTCAAGTGGTTAAGACGCTGAACCTTACCATCCTGCTCCTGTGCTGGAATGCATAAGATAACTACTGGAGGATGTGTGGGGGAGAAGATGCTGTAATGCTTGCCTATTGCTTTTCTCATGAGAACTGCACCTGTGTTTTGTCTGATGTTCTGCCTGGTTCCCATGGACTGGGCGCGCAACCGTTTCATTAGCCTGCCAGCGGGAATGTTATTCATTGGATCTGTATCTGTTTGAATTTCCTTTATTATGCTTAACCTACCTGTGTATCCCCAGTTCTAACAAAGAACGTGTTTGAGTATGTCTTCAACGCTTTGAAATAAATTTTGCTTTCCTTGAAAACGTGGATTTATTCTCGATGCTTGGAGATCCAACACCACGGAAACGTCTTCGGACAGCGCTGGCTCTTCGGCTTTGAAACGGAGATGTGCACCGCAACCCTAGAGTCGGACTCGACTGGCTTTCGAGCAAGGGAACCTTTACCTTTATAAAACTCAGAATGTTCTGGACTAGTCACCAAGGTCTCACATGGAGCTGTTGATGGCCAGTCCCTACCATTAGTAAACCAGAGATATGTGTCTTTCTTGGACCTATAACAGTGAACGTACTTACTAATGTACTACTGATGTACCTGTCACGTAGGACTACCATGAATGTGATGAAGGCCAGACTAGAACTGACCCAGCGTAGTGTCCCAGATCCCTCCCCCTTCTGTCTGTCTCTGGGGTCAGGAAGCTCTCAGAAAGTCAAAGGGAGTCAAGGAAGCGAGCTTGAGATACCCCGTCCATTTTGATTCTGATAGTGACACCACCAACTCCTGGAATGTATAGGTAAAGGTAAAGGTTTCCCTTGCTCGAAAGCCAGTCGTGCCCTTGTATAAAACTCAGAATGTTCTGGTCTTCTCCCATAGAGCTTGTTGATGGCCAGACCCTACCATTAGTAAACCAGAGGTATAGATCTTTCTTGGACCTATAGTTGCTGACATATCTATCACATAGGACTATCACAGATGTGACACAGGCCAAACTAGAACTAACCCGATTTACTGACCCAAAGCCCTCCCCCTTCTCTCTATCTCTGGGGTCAAGAAGTTCTCATAAAGTCAAGGAGAGACCAGAATGCTAGTTTCAGATACCTTATCCATTTTGATTTTGATAGTGACACCATGAAGTTCTGCAAAGTATAAGCATCCTCTAAGGCAAAAGTCATGTGCAGCATTATTGGTACCAGAAGGCCACAGCACCAGCAGAGTCCTGTAGCCTCCTGGGAAACCGAACCAAAGATTCAACTGTAGAGGCTAATTTACTGTGGGAATTAAAGTATCACAGGTTTAACGGACGACTGAGGCTCGATCCAGGCCCTTATTCCATGACACTATGAACGAACGCTTTGGGCTCACACGAGTGGCTAATTTCCTTTCCCCCAGAACCGAAGTGGTTTTCTTGCAGCAGGCTAGTGTACTCTTGACAAGCAGCTTGGAAATCACAGCTTTAGTTACAGAGGCCCTGGAGCAGGTATTTCGCTGGCCCTTTGAAGTCTTTTTTCAAACATGGTGCAGATTGTGAGAGCGCTCCAGCCACACTGGGACCACTGACTTATTTATTTACCTCATATATACGATGCCTTTCTCCCCAGTGGGAACCCAAAGCGGATTACATCATTCTCCTCTTCTCTGTTTTATCCTCACAACAACCCTGTGAGGTAGGTCAGGCTGAGTGTGTGTAAATGGCCCAGGGTCACTACGCGAGCTTTCAGGGCAGAGTGGGGATTCGAACCAGGGTCTCCCTTATCCCAACCTGACACTCCAACCACTACACCATCCTGGACAGTGAGGTTTGGCTTGGTTTCCCGGCTCTTGCCTGGTATGTGAAGTTGTGAGCTGTTGCGGTAGGGGGAGGGCGCTCTCTGGTGAAGGCTGTAACGTCTGAGGGGGAAGATCTGTCTGTGTTTTAATTTGCTAAAGGGAGAATAAAGGTCCTTCATGTACCCCCACTGAGCTTTTAAGAAGCAAATTTATCTAATAGCGGTCTCAGTCATTAGTAATGAGAGCAATACAGTAATATTGCCATTGATAACTTACGGCAGGGCTCCTCAGCACCGTGCCCGTGGGGTGACATGGCAGCCACTGGCACTTTCCTGGCGCCCGCCAAGTGTTTTTAGATAAAGGGCAGGGCTTTGGCCCAGCAAGACTTCTGATTGGCCACTGGAGATTTGATTGGCTGTGCAGATTTTTAATAACATTGCTTTGGCAGCGGCTGCCACCGCAGCACCAATATCGTCACTGTGTGACTGAAGGTAAGCTGCGGCAGCCATTTTGTGGCTGGCTTTTACCGCCTCAGGCAGCCATTTTGTGCTTGCGCCCACCACTGTGTGTCCGAATTCCAGAGGGGCCCACGGGCTTTTAGAATCAGCAAGAGAGCCAGGAAGAAAACAATGGATGAAACCGTTTTGGTTTTGGTTTGTCAGGAGGAAGCAAGGCCAAATCACGAACTGGTCCAGAGCCTCATCTCCGCACACTCCACCATCGATGCCAAGATGGCTTCCAGCAGGGTCTCTCTCTTCATGGATTCCAAGCCACTAGGAACTGAGGATGTTGAAAACGAAACGTAAGTTTCAGTGTTCTGATCAACTGAGGGCCTCTTGTCTTCGTGTGTGTGTGTGAGAGAGAGAGAGAGAGAGGCCTTTGCCTTACTCTTTGCTTATCTCAGCAGCCACGGACCCCGAGGAGTCAAAGGCACCTTTCATGGGCTGCCGTGAGGGAGCTACTCTTCTGTGATCTGTTAACACGTGGCTGAAGGCTGCGTTTGAGAGTCTCTCAAATAAGTTATCGATAACGCCCACGTCAAAGGAATTTTGGAAATCTTATAAACCAGTGGGGAGAGAGACGGTAACGGTGCGGGCTGGTGCTAGAAAGTGCTGTCAAACTGCAGCTGACATGGTGGCCCCGTAGGGGTTTCGAGGCAAAAGACGAACAGCGGCGGTTTGCCATTGCCTGCCTCTGCGTAGCCACCCTGGGCTTCCTTAATACTTTGCTTTCCAAGATCAGGCTATTCTGGCCCATCCAAGTCAGGGTGTGGTGTGATTTACAGCCACATAAATCCAGCAGACCCATTGTCTTCTTCCTTGTCCTGATGACAGAATGGGGTTCTCCCTCTCGATCTGCAGTGACCGGCATGTCAGTGCTAGGGGTGTGCAAAAAAATAATAATGATCCTGGTACTTTTCTGGTTTGGGGATATTGAATCCGTAAAATATCGGTATTTCCTGATATTCCCAGATCCCAATATCAGTATGGTATCGGGATTCGGGATATATTTGGGGTTCCTAAAATTTTTCGGGAACTCGCTGCTTAGAGAAGGTGTTTAAACACCTTCCTTGTGAACTGGCTGCTTGGGACTCCCATTCGTGTGGCACCGATTGCAAAAGTCATTTAAATGCCTTTTGCAAGGAGTGCCTTGCAAATGGAGTCCCAAGTGGAGTTTACTCACACGGTGCGGCTTGTAGAAGGCACTTAAAGGGAACACGTTCCCCGTAAATGCCTTTTGCAAGCTGCGCCGTGGATCAGCTGGGGTGGCATGGATCTGAGAGCTCAGCGCAGCCTCTGCTGGGGCTGGCTCTCAGTATAGCTGAACACACCTTAATAAAAGCCGGGAAAAAATTGGTTTTTTTCGGGCTCAGTTATACCAGTAGTCGAGTAAAGATCTCTGATCTGTATTCAGCGTAAGTGATACCAGTAAGGTATTTTGGGTGTCCCCCCCAGTTATTCTGAATGCACCTCCCTAATCAGTGCTATGGCATTCTCTTCGGTCTTGCAGGTTTGGGTAGGTTGTGAAAGTTTAAGACTCGTCTTTGTTTTCATTTCCCCCCCTTTGGGAAGGTTGTTCACAGTGCCTAAAGAGGAGAAGAAAATGGACACGCGCACCGGGAGGATGCGTCGGAAAGCAGTGTTTGAAGATGAAGACGGCGAAGATGGGGAAAGCGAGGAGGAGGAGGAAGAGGAAGAAATGTCCATGGATGAGAACGGTGAGGAGAGTGATAGTGAGGAAGAGGAGGAGGCTCGTGGAGAACAAGGCGGTCAAGATCTCCTGGGACAGGAACTGGTTCTGAGAACTTGCAAGCGCCTTAGAAAAGCAACGGCACAAGCGACTCCAGGAGAGCTGCCCGCTTTTGCTGACAGTGACGACGACCTGGAGATGAGCTCAGGCGACGAAAGAGAAGCTGTTCTTGAAGAGCATATGGAAGACGCGGCTGGAGAAGGACAGACGAGTGAAGAGGAGGGAGGAGGATTGGTAGAAGATTCAGATACTGAAGAGTCCAGCGGAGAAAACGTTCCAGAGTCCCAAGCGCAGAGGATTGGAAATAAGGACCCTGAGTTGAAGTCCATGACGGAGGAGGAGGATGTTGAAGGTCTATTGAAAGAGGAAGAGGATTATAAAGAAGCATCCGACTTCTCCGTAGATACAGCTGGTACAGTCCTTGCTTTGTATATTTGATTTCTTTATGTTTAATTGGGATTGTCTGTTTCTTAAGAACATCAGAAGGGCCCTACTGGAGCAGACCGATGGTCCACCTAGTCCGGCATCCTGTCTCACACAGGTGGACCTCGGCCTCTCTGCCCTGTTGCTGGCCCTTCCCCTGATGTTGCCTCCTGGCTCTGGGGTTTGGAGGGCTTAATGCCTTAAAATGTATGTTGAGGTTCCCCTCAGTCACCATCAACGCTTCCCTCGAAGCTCCACAGTGTTGTGAGCCAAAATTCAACCTCAAAAGACAAAAAAAGGCAGTAGCATTAAAGTTGTGAGCAAGTCTACATTTGACTATTGCGTAAATTATTTTAAGAAGATTGTTTCCGTAACCGTGCAAAAACCTCAGAATGTTTAAACTGCATTTTGAGTATAATTTACTTTAAGAAGATTGTTTCCATAACCATGTCAAAATCTCAGAATGAGTTCTTTTAAATTATGTTTAAACTGCATTTTGAGTATAATTTAAACATTATAAGAGGAAACCGAATCAAGCCAAATTTCATTACACAAAATGTTGTCCTCTGCAGGGGTAGACCAGGTCTCCGGCGAACAGGTCTACCTGGCCCAGGATTGTGCACCAGCGCCCCCTAGCGCAGCTTAGGGGGAACTGTGCTACCCACCTAAATCCCAAGTAAAAGAACTACATTCAAGTCTAGTAGCACCTTTGAGAGACCAACATAATCTTGGGATATGAGCTGAAAAGGGGAGCTTCAACTCTAGGTTACCAGTAGACTTTAATCCAGCTGTTTTACTACAGATGGACACAGATATGCAGCAATGCTCCCTCTAAGCTGTGGAGTCTCGTGAGCAAAAATTCTACTTTGTGAGCGATTGGCATTAAAGTTGTGAGTGAGCGATTTCACGACTGCATACATTAGTTTGCTCTGGAGCCCTCCTTCCTGAGCGAAGACAAAAATGTGTGAGTCGGAAGCTAAAAAAACTGTGAGCTGGCTCACACCAACTCAGCTTAGAGGGAACACTGGTCATCATGTCTGGTAGCCATTGATAGACTTCTCCATGAATCCATCTAATCCCCTTTTAAAGCTGTTTGTTCCGGTGGCCATCACTCCATCCTCGGGCAGCGAATCCCACATTTTAATCACTCCCCATGTAAAGAAGTATTTCCTTTTGTCTGTCCTGATCCTACTGCCCATCGGCTTCATTGGATGCCCTCAAGTTCTGGCATTTTGAAGAGGGAGAAAAAATTATCTTTGTCAACCTGTGCTCCCTCTCAGCTGTGGAGTCTTGTGAGCAAAAATCCTACTCTGTGAGCTACTGGCATTCAAGTTGTGAGCGAGTGATTTGGCTAGTGCATCAATTAGTTTGCCCTGGAGCCATCCTTCCTGAGCGAAGGCAAAAATGTGTGAGCCGGAGGCTAAAAAACTATGAGCTAGCTCATACTGCCAACCTAGCAGTTCGAAAGCAAGAAATTGCAAGTCGATAAATAGGTACCACTTCAGTGGGAAGTCCCCCCCCCAAGTCGTCTCTGTTCTCAGCTGAGAAGTCCCAGACTCTTCAGCCTTTCCTTACAGGGAAGGTGCCCCGACTCCCCCGAATCATCTTGGTTGCCCTCGTCCGCACTTTTTCTTCCTGGTAGCAGTGCTAGCCGACGGGACTGTGGAGACTTCTGCTTCTTTCTGAGTACAGCCGAGATGTGCTACACCAGCCAGCCATTTCTGATCGATATACCGTTCGTTGCCGTTAATATTTTGTTTTCCATATTGTGTGTGAGTCACGTGCTGCCAGGTTGCTTCCGACTTAACGGCGACCCTATGAGGTCACGGGCCTCCAAAACATCCTAACGTTAACAGCCTTGCTCAGGCCTTGCAAACTGAAAGCCAGGTGCCCCTCCCTGGGGAGCTTATGCCATAATCATGGGGATGCCCCTGAAAAGGCCCTGTACTGAGTCAGTCTATTTCATGCTGAGTCTTCTAGTGGAAAAGGAGCTGAGGTGAGACTTCAGGCACTTTCAAACACACTGGGTAATGCACTTCCAATCTGGTTTCAGTGCCCTTTGCAACTGGATTTTACTGGGTGAAATGGTCAAAATCCACTTGCAAGCGATGGCTAAAGTGAATAGAAAGTGCGTGAAAGCAATTCTCGGTTTGCATTTCGTTATACTTGCTTCCCGAGTAACACGCTCAGGTAAGCAACATTGTATTTTTTTCTTTCAGGTGCACTTAAATGGAAAGAAGACCTTACACAAAAAGCAGCGGAAGCGTTTCTGAGACAGCAGCAGTCGGCTCCCAGTCTCCGTAAACTTATTTATGGAACAGGTAAAAAACAAACAAAAACAGAATGCTTTGCATCCCTTGGTCCTATAAAGGGGCTCACAGAACAGACCCGGGGAGGAGAGAGAATAAGAACGTGACTGGCTGAAGTTGTGAGCATGTAACCTTTTCTTCTAGCCTTTTTTTCATACACCCCTGTGTGAGTTATTGATATTGTGTCATATTTTTAAAAATGTAGATATTTATACCTTACTTTTTTCGCTGAGCTGCGGTGGCTCAAGTGGTTGAGACGCTGAACTGCTGGCTGGAAGGTCGGTAGTTCAGCAGTTCGAGACCCGGGTGCCGCATGACGGAGTGAGCTCCCGTCTCTGGTCCCAGCTCCTGCCAGCCTAGCAGTTCGAAAGCAAGAAATTGCAAGTAGATAAATAGGTATCACTTCTGTGGGAAGGTAACAGCGTTCAGTGCGCCTTGGTGCTTAGTCATGCCGGCCACATGACCACGGAAACGTCTTCGGACAGCGCTGGCTCTTCGGCTTGGAAACAGAGATGAGCACCGCAACCCTAGAGTCGGATTCGACTGGCTTTCGAGCAAGGGAAACCTTTACCTTTACTTTCTCCCTGGTGGGGATCCAAAGCAGCTTACATCGTTCTCCTCTCCTTGTTTTTATCCTCACAACAGCCCTGTGGGGTAGGTTAGACTGAGAGAGTGAATGACCAAGATCCCTCAGTGAATTTCCATGGCAGAGTGGAGAGATTCAAACCTGGGTCTCCCAGATCCTAGTGCAATACTTTAAGCACTATGCAATGCTTTAATCCCTATGCAGCCCTGACGGTCTGAAAGACCTGGCCGCCTGAATCCTGACTATTTATTTAAAGCATTTATAGGCCATGTTTCTCCCTTGTAGAACTCAAGGCGGTTTGCAAAATGAATAAAACGTTATAAAAAAACACAATAAAGAAAAAAGTAAGTAAAGGTAAAGGTTTCCCTTGCTCGAAAGCCAGTCAAATCCGACTCTAGGACTCTAGGCTCATCTCTGTTTCCAAGCCGAAGAGCCAGCGCTGTCCAAAGACGTTTCTGTGGTCATGTGGCCGGCATGACTAAACATTAAGGCGCACGGAATGCGGTTACCTTCTTCCCACCGAAGTGGTACCTATTTATCTTATTGCAATTTCTTGCTTTCGAACTGCTAGGCTGGCAGGAGCTGGAACTAGAGACGGGAGCTCACTCCATCATGCGGCATCACAGGTCTTGAACTGCTGAACTACTGACCTTCCACAGCCTGCAGTTCAGCGTCTTACCCACTTGAGCCACCGCAGCTCCTTTTAAAGAAAACTCCTAAAATTCACAAAGTGAAACTGAAATATGATAAAAGCAAACACGAGATTAAAAAATACGATGTTTAGTTTAATACTGAAAGTCTTTCAGATAATGGAACTAGGATGCACCTAGCTTGGCTAATTGTGATTTAATTAGTTTATTTTTGAAATAATTATATACAATAACATTCTTTTTATGTAGTGCTTTTAAAGGTGGGAAGACTCAGTTGATATTTATATGTAACATGATCCTTGCTTTAGCCTTATATTTTATGCATAGTTCAGTCTCCCGTATTTCCCCACCCTTCGTAGATTTGTAGTGAAAAGCAATTTAAAATATTTTTAAAAACACAATAAAGAACTAACTTAGTCAAATGCAGGCTAAATAAAACAATCTTCAACTGCCTCCTGAAGGTGGAGAGGGAGGGGGCCAGGTGCACCTCCCTAGGGAGGTTATTCCATAATCATAGGGGCTAGCACTGAGAAGGCCCCGTCCTGTGTGTCCACCATACAAGCTTCTTCGATTGGTGGGGCAATCTGGAGGGCCTCTCCCTGTGATCGTAATTCTCAGGCAATACTGTGTGGGAGAAGGCGGTCCTTCAGATGCCCCAGGCCATGTAGGGCTAGCTGTGGGCAAACATCCTCGTGTGTGCCAGTCAGGAAGCCATATCTGAGAAGCCCTGGAAGCTGGCTTGTTCCCTAGATTACCAGCAGCTTCCATGCTTCTCTTTAGATGGATGACTGAGGTCAGTGAAACCACAATAGACGTTTGCCGTCAGTTATCTGAAACTCATACTCCTGACATACAGATCTAACATAACTTAAGCAAGATGAGTGTGGCGTGCTTGCTATTTGGGGGGACTGTTTTTCCTTTAAACCACCCTCCGTGTATATAAACTTGGCAGTTTTCTGCTGCCACCAGGAATTAAAAATTCCAATTCTCTCTCTTTTGGTTGTATGACCCAGGATCTGGGCACTTCAGAGGATGATGTGGCCCTGAGGAAAGACTGTACTGAATTCTGGGATATGTTTAAACAAAAACTGATTTATCGAATAAAGGAACAAAATAGGTTTCATGGAAGCAATTCCCGGTTTGCATTTCATTATACTTGCTTCCCGCGTAACACGGATCAGGTAAGCAACGTTGTCTTTTTTTCTTTCAGGCGCACTTAAATGGAAAGAAGACCTTACGCAAAAAGCAGCAGAAGCGTTTCTGAGACAGCAGCAGTCGGCTCCCAGTCTCCGTAAACTTATTTATGGGACAGGTAAAAAACAAACAAAAAACAGAACGCTTTGCATCCCTTGATCCTATAAAGTGGCTCACTGTACAGACCTGGGGAGGAGAGAGAAAAAGAACGTGACTGGCTGCAGTTGTGAGCATGTAACCTTTTCTTCTAGCCCTTTTTTCATACACCCCTGTTTGAGTTTGGGTTTATTTTCCTGATTTCTTAGGCTTACTTTTCTGTGGTCCAATTAATAAAAGAGCTACCAGGTGTCAGTGTTCCCTCTAAGCTGAGTTAGTGTGAGCTAGCTCACAGGTTTTTACCTTTGAGCTCACACATTTGTTTCTTAGCTCAGGACGGATGGCTCCAGAGCAAACTAATTTATGGCATAGCCAAATCACTCACTCACAACTTTCATGCCTGTAGCTCACTAAGCAGAATTTTTGCTCATAAGACTCTACAGCTTAGAGGGAACATTGCCAGGTGTGATATTTCTAGTTTGTTCTGTTATTGCTGGAAGTGTTGCAAACCTGCTGTGCAAAGCATTGAAAACGTTATTGTAACTTGGGTATATTACTGGGGTTTTTTTAACTTATTGCTGCTGTTTTGTTCAGTGGCTGAGGATGAGGAGGATGAAGGCAAAGCCGGCGGAGAGCTTGGAGGGCTGTTCCGCGTCAGTCGCCCTGACAAGGAATCCAAGCGAAAGGCTGACGCCCTCGACTGCTCCAAGTTCCCAGTAGAAGCCCCCAAAGATTGGGACTTAGATGAGGTTGGTTTTTGTTTCTTAAAGCTAAAATATAAGAGAAGCCATGTTGGATCAGGCCAGTGGTCCATCCAGTCCCACACTCTGTGTCAGACAGTGGCTAGAACCCCGTTCCTCTGCTGCTTCAGGCCAACACAGCTACCCGTCGCCTGTCTTCTGGTGAACATGGCGGCCAAAAACGGCCTTTGCAACCCTGTTGCTTGAGAAGGGGCAAGAAGGGACCGCTCTAAACTCGTGGAAGAACAAGCAGTGGGCTGTAGTTTAAACATTCAGTCTGTGGGCTCCGTACTAAAATGACTGCAGGTAACGGGGGTCAAATGTTGAGCAGTTTCGCCGCTGCAATGAGTAGCAGGCGTATTGACCCAGCTCTCCCGTTTGGGCAGGTCATGGACAGCATCCGGGACTGCTTTGTGACAGGAAACTGGGAAGCCGACAAAGACGCAGCCAAACTGTTGAAAGACGACGGTAAGGCGGACACTTTCCCTTGATAATTTTTCTTTTTGAACTGTGCGCGTGGGAGTGTTTTGGAGGAAGCTTTGATATTGGAAGGACTCCTGGGAAAACTTTACTTGCGTTGAGGGACAGGGATTTCGAGAAGAAGAGTAGGCTTTTAAACCCCGCTTTTCTCTACCTTAGGAGCTGTGGTGGCTCAAGTGGTTAAGCCGCTGAACTGCAGGCTGTGGAAGGTCAGTAGTTCAGCAGTTCGAGACCCGAGTGTGCCGCATGACGGAGTGAGCTCCCGTCTCTAGTTCCAGCGCCTGCCAACCTAGCAGTTCGAAAGCAAGAAATTGCAAGCAGATAAATAGGTACCACTTCGGTGGGAAGGTCACAGCGTTCCGTGCGCCTTGGTGTTTAGTCATGCCGGCCACATGACCACAGAAACGTCTTTGGACAGCGCTGGCTCTTCGGCTTGGAAACGGAGATGAGCACCGCAACCCTAGAGTCGGACTCGACTGGCTTTCAAGCAAGGGAAACCTTTACCTTTTACTTTCCTCTACCTTAGGGAGACTTCAAGCGGTTTACAATCGCCTTTCGCTTCCTGTCCCCACTACAAGTTCCTTGTGAGGCAGGTGGGCCTGAGAGGGTTCTGAGAGAGAACTGTGACTGGCCCAAGGTCATCCAGCAGGCTCCATGGGGGGGAGGAGTGAAGAGTCAAAACCCGGCTCTCCAGATTAGAGCCCAGATCTCTAAGATGGTTCTCCAGATTAGAGATTAGAGCCCGCCGCTCTTAACCAGTACACCACGCTGGCTCTTCCCCACACCAGTCACCTTGTGAGGCAGGTGGGGCTGAGAGAGTTCTGAGGGAACTGTGACTGGCCCAAGGCAGCCCAGCAGGGTTCACGCCGGGGAGGGGCGAAGAATCAAACCCGGCTCTCCGGATTAGAGTCTGCTACTCTGAACCACTTTACCACGCTGACTCTCATGGCTGGTGGGAGAGGCTTGTTTACAGTCAGTGGTGGCAGAAATGGAGAAAAGACGGACACACATTCTTTATTTTATTAGTTATAATCCCACTTTTCTCCCAGATCAGGGACTCGAAACAACTTTTCATATCTCCCCCCCCCCCTTAATCCTCTCACCAAGAAACATTGTGAAGGGTAGGCTAGGCTGAGAGCTTGTCTTGAACGCTTTCACAGGTGGTTCCTGAACCTACCGGATAAAGGTAAAGGCTCCCTTGCTCGAAAGCCAGTCGAATCCGACTCTAGGGTTGCGGTGCTCATCTCCGTTTCAAAGCCGAAGAGCCAGCGCTGTCCGAAGACGTTTCCGTGGTCATGTGGCCGACATGACTAAACACCAAGGCGCACGGAACACTGTTACCTTCCCACCGAAGTGGTACCTATTGATCTACTTGCAATTTCTTGCTTTCGAACTGCTAGGTTGGAAGGAGCTGGAACTAGAGACGGGAGCTCACTCCATCATGCGGCACACCCGGGTCTCGAACTGCTGAACTACTGACCTTCCACAGCCTGCAGTTCAGCGTCTTAACTACTTGAGCCACTGCAGCTCCACTAACCTACCGGGAAGGACATGTTATTTCTTCAAGGAGATAATCCCCTTAACCCCACAAAAGCCCGTTGGTCCTATAGGGTTGGATCCAGGCTAAATTTTCCACAAAGAGAAAGAGTGGAGTCATTTCTACCCATGCTCTCTTCCTGCTGCAGACCTCCCAATTTGCCCCTCATGTTGTTCCTGAGGAGACATCCCCCATGGTGTAACTTTTTTGCGGGGTCTGTGGGCTGCTTTGGGGTGGGGGGAGGCAGGGACATTCTTTTCCTCTGGAAAAAAAAATGCCTTGCCCGAGCAGAACGTTTACTCTGGAGGATCTAACCCATATTGTCTTATGAACATTGGAAGCTGCCTCCTACTGAATCAGACCCGGGGTCCATCACAGTCAGCATTGTCTACTCGGACTGGCAGTGGCTCTCCCGGGTCTCAGGCCAGGGGTCTTCCAAATCATCTAGTGCCTGATCCTTTAAGATGGAGATGCTGGGGATTGAACCTGGGGCCTTCTGCATGCCAAGCAGAGACTCTGCCACTGAGCCGCGGCCCCTCCCTCTCTGGTTCTGGTGGTCGTCTGCAATGCACCCTCTCAGCTGTGGAGCCTTGTGAGCAAAAATTCTACTTTTTGAGCTACTGGCATTAAAGTTGTGAGTGAGTGATTTGGCTGTTGCATCAGTTAGTTTGCTTTGGAGCCATCCTTTCTAAGCTAAGGGGAAAATGCGTCGAGCCGGAGACTCAAAAACTGTGAGCTAGCTCACACTAACTCAGCTTAGAGGGAACACTCGTCATCTGTTGTGGACCAGTAGGTCTCAGATCTTCTGAAAGTACTCCAAATGAGCTGATTTGAGAGAAGCCTGCAATGGAAGCAAAAGGCTTGCCATTTGTGTACAACTGGAAGCTTCGATAGACTGATGGGTGGTGGCAGAAGAAATCCTGTTTGTTGATTGCAGAGATTTTTTTTTTTTAAAAAAAAACACCAGTTACACAATGTTCTGCTTTTTACAGAAGAGCTATACGGTGATTTTGAAGATCTGGAAACAGGAACTGTACACAAGGGCAGACCGGATGATCAAGGAGACGAGGTTTGAGGAGAATCCTTTTTTTCCTTTTTGTAAATTAAGTGTTCCGCAAATGGAGCATCATTAAAGCGTAGATGGGCCTAGGCCTGTAGCCACTGGGGGGGGGGGGTTTGGGGTGCAATTTGAGGTCGACACCCCCTGTCCTCCATGAATTTGTCCACTCCCCTTTTAATGCCCTCCGAGTTGGCGGCCATCACCGCATCCCTTGGCAGTGAGTTCCACAGTTTAACTGTGCTCTGTGTGAAGAAACACTTAGGTCTGCCCCGAGTTTCCCACCTTTCAGCGTCAGTGGATGACCCTGGGTTCTAGTATTATGGGAGGGGGAGAGAAGTGTGGTCAGTGATGGACTGAGCTGTCGCCTAGTTTTTTGGGGTTTTTTATAGTATATTTATTGGTTTTCCAAACACAAACAAACAACAGAAACACACAAAGAAGACAATTACAGTTTCCCCTCACACAAGAGAACAAAATTTTAACTTAACACAACTAATTCAATTTGATTAATTTTTGTCTTATAACTATAAACTAGTTTTTGACCCATTGTCTTTGAGCGTGAGAAGCTTTATTCAGAAGCGTCCATGGCCTGTCAAATGCTGCATATTTTCAGCATTTTCTCTAGAACTGTGGGGGATCATCATTGTTCTTGAACCACCCAGCGGGTCTCAGCGGCCCACAATCCATCACTTCCAATTTCCTTACTTTGTGTAGCATCAGTGGGCCCAAATAACCGCTGGAGTGCTTTGTAGTGACGTGGAGCCCGTTCCCTTGTGTCCTTGGCAGAACCGCCCAGGTTCCTGCAAGATGCTGGCCGGTCAAGCTGCAGTGAAAGAGAAATTTGAAACTTCAAGGCACAGTGGGTATATCCCACTGTCTTAACATCCGAACTGTGTTAGTTCGAGCCCCGCGCTGGTGTGAGCAGCCAGCCTGTTGTCCCCAGCTCATCGTCCACCCAGCGATTCGAAAGCTTCGGCGAGTAGATAAAATGGGAACCACTCCTTAGAGAGGGTGGGCACGCCAATCTCCCTTGTGGGAGGGCGTTAGCTGACAGTCGGGACGTCCTGGCTGAGGTCGGAAAAAGGCGAAAGAACTTCTCGGCTACAAAAATCCCTGCAGTGGATGTTTCCGGCCAGGCGGTGGCAGTGTGGCGATGTGACATACGGGTCCTGAAGCCTGGTCGACAAAGCAGCTGTTCGGAAAATGACTGAGCCAAGCCAGAAGACATTTACTCCATGCAGTGACAGCGTGTGCGATTAAATGAATATATGTTATCTTCCCTATCCCCTATGAACATTGTTAGTCCCCTGTCTAAAATATATAACTGTACATCGCTTTGAGCCCACTGGGTAAAGCGATTAATAAATTGAAAGTATTATTATTATTATTATTATTATTATTATTATTATTATTATTATTATTATTGTTGTTGTTGTTGTTGTTGTTGTTGTTGTTGTTGTCGTCATTATCATCATTATTGATAATAATGACGGCGTTTGAAACGTTCCTCCTGTTTGAGTCCAGTTGGCGTTTAAAACAGATCAATCCTCTACAGGTTGGCATTTAAAGATGTGATTCCTCACCCGCAGTCTGAAGTGGTACAGTCCATTAATCCGTATCAGGACTCTACCACCTCGTTCTGTTCCATGTGTAGGGCAAAGGTGGCAAGCTGAGGCTGGTTTTCACTCCGGTGTAAGAACCACGAAATCTACATTTTCTTCCATTCAGTACAGTGAACATGTTCTCTGGTGTCCAAGAGGGGTGGCTTTAATTTATTTCCTTTTAAGAACTTACCCCCCCTGAACTCTTTGTAGCAGATACAACATAGCATTGTTGGTGGAATGCACTGTCAAGGCTAACCCCGTAGGGTTTCCAAGGCAGGAGATGTTCAGAGGTGATTGGCCCTTGCCTGCCTCTGTGTAGTGACCCTGGGCTTCCTTGGTGGTCTCCCATCCAAGTGCTAACCAGGGCCGACCCTGCTTAGCTTCCGTGATCTGCCAAGATCAGGCCGGCCTGGGCACCACGTAGCATGACGTACCACAGTGTCTTCGTGAAAAGCGTCCTTTTTTGCCTTCTTCCTTGAATGACAAAAATCCATATCTTATCCAATCAGCTTCGTTACCTTGTCTGCTGTAGACATTTGGAAAAACGTCTTGGATGAGACACGTTTTCTCTCTCTCTCTTTTCTTACTAGGCAGGAAGTGGAGAGGAGAAAGAGGCGGGCGGGGGGAAAGGGACCGAGGAAGCCGAGGAGAAGCAGCAGCAGCAGCGGATGGATAAGAAACGTAAACTGAAGGAGATGTTTGACGCCGAGTACGACGAGGGGGATGCCACTTACTTCGATGATCTGAAAGGAGAGATGCTGAGACAGGCGCAGGTAGGGACGTCCCGCTGGGCGGAGAGTGGGCGCTGGGTGGCGAGAGCCGGCCAATGAGTAACCAAAAACGTCGGGGAGCCGAAGCAAAAATCCGATACAGAAACCAGGTGCTATTTTTTTTTTTAAATGAAGGCCAGCCAGAAGACCACAATCCATTGCGGAGCCCAACTAAGTCACTGGTTTGAATCTAGCTTCTGCATTAAACTAGCTGGGTGAGGTCAAGCGGGAGGCGGAGACCTCTTCCCCCTCTTCCTCGGTTTCAAATATAGGGCAGTGGTGGTTGCAGCAGCTATAAAGTAATGTGCAGGTAACACTTCGGACATTTAAGAAAGTACTATGTTAGTGTTAAATATTGTCATTAAGTATGACATAAATTGACACCGCGTGGTCATTTGTGATGGGCGTCAGTGTCCCCTCTAAGTTGAGTTAGTGTGAGCTAGCTCACCATTTTCTAGCCTCTGGCTCGCACAGTTTTGCCTTCGCTCAGGAAGGAGGGCTCCGGAGCAAACTAATGGATGCACCAGCCAAATCGCTGGCCCACAACTTTAATGCCAAGAGCTCACAGAGTAGAATTTTTGCTCACAAGGCTCCACAGTTTAGAGGGAGCATTGATGGGCATGTGTTTTTCACTCAGAAGAGGGGGTATTCCCTTTAAAAGGGGATTAGGTAGATAACGGGGAGGATAGGTTTTATCAGTAGTTACTAGCCATGGTGACTACAGGGAACCTCCACATTCAAAGGCAGTCAACCCCTGAATCCCAGTGCCAAGAGAAGAGGAGGAGGAGATTGGATTTATACCCCGCCCTTCACTCGGAGTCTTAGAGTGGCTTACAATTTCCTTTCCCTTCCCCTCCCCACAGCAAGACACCCTGTGAGGTAGGTGGGGCTGAGAGAGCTCTTTTGAGGACTGCTCTTGAAAGAACAGCTCTGAGAGAACTTGTAACTGACCCAAGGTCACACCAGCAGCTGCATGTGGAGGTGTGGGGAAGCAAACCCGGTTCTCCCAGATTAGAGTCCATGCTTCTAACCACAACAACAAACTGGCTCACCAAATTGGAGGCAACCTCAGGGGAAGGCCTCAGCCTCTGTGCCCTGTTGTCGGCCCTCCAGAGGAACTCATTGGCCACTGTGTGAGACAGGATGCTGGACGAGATGGACCACTGCTCTGATCCAGCAGGGTACTTCCAATGTTTTTATGAAGGCCTCGGTCTCTATGCTCTGTTGTTGGCCCTCCAGAGGAACTGGTTGGCCGATATGTGAGAGAGGATGCTGGACTAGATGGACCACTGATCTGATCCAGCAGGGCTCTTATCAAGGGAAGCACAAACCTCCAAAGGAAGTTTTCAAAACTTATTGAGGGCCAAAAGTTAAAAACATATATAAGTGTACAAAAGAGTGTTTATTACAAACACACGTAAAAACCTAGTAGGGGCCCAAATAAAGCCTCATAAAACGTTCAAAGTTACAAATACACACTGTTGCCCCCTTTCCTTTCCTCGTTCTGTTGTGCAGCTTAACCGGGCTGAGTTTGAAGATCAAGACGACGAGACCAGAGTGCAGTACGAAGGCTTCCGGCCCGGGATGTATATCCGAGTAGAAATTGAGGGCGTCCCCTGTGAACTAGTGCTGAACTTTGACCCCCACTATCCAGTTATCTTGGGAGGCCTGGGGAACACTGAAGGAAACGTCGGTTATGTGCAGGTATGCAGTCACAACTTTGTGTGGTCTTCCTTGTGGCGTTAGGTTCTCATGTGCCGCCATACATAATGTGTCCTGTATGTACAATTGTATATATTCATTTTTCTCCCGGACGTCAAGGTCTGTTCTGAACAGAGTGTGGGAGAAACGCCAGGCTTCCTGGTATCTTAGTTCAGCTGTCTCTTTTGTAAGGATCGTATTTGAATCTACTGCAACATAGGAATCCTCCTTGCTTGGTTCCTGTTCTGGCAATCCATAGACCAAGTTGACCTCTAAATTTTAGGCTGGGGTCCCCGACATGGCTTACAATCTCCTTTCCCTTCCCCTCCCCACAACGGACACCCTGGGAGGTAGGTGGGGCTGAGAGAGCTCTTTCGAGGACTGCCCTTGAGGGAACAGCTCTGAAGGAACTTATGCCTGAACCAAGGTCACACCAGCAGCTGCATGTAGAGGAGTGGGGACTGAAACCCAGTTCTCCCAGATTAGAGTCCACGTTCCTAACCACTACACCGACTGGCTTTGGGAGGGGTGAAACCTTTACTGAGTTACTTGTAAGTCCGGGGCCCCTAACCTTTTCGATCCTGCAGGCACCTTTGGAATTTGGACACTGAATGGTGGATGCAGCCACAAAATGGCTGTCACAAGAGGTGTGGAGGTGAACCCCCCCCCCAAAAAAAAACTCAGGAAGTGAGGTTGTGCATAACGCTAACAGTAATTCTTCAGCATTTCAGGCAAAAGCTGTTTTGTAACAGGATGCCTTTTAAAATGAAAAGGTCGTTTGAAGACTACCTTTGTATTTTTTGTATATCTTCAGTCGTACAGTGAAGATCGTTGCGCCGTACCAAGCAGCTTTTAAAAATCAGTGCGGCCAGTCGGAAGCCCAACCTGGCCCGGCTCACTTTCGCAAAACACTTGGCGGGCGCCATGGCCGCCCACGGGCACCAGGTCGGGGAACCCTAATGTACGTCATTAATCTCCGTGCCAGTTCTGTTTGATTCGTCTGCTGAGGAGCTCGAGATCATGCAGCGTTTATTTATTTATTTATTGGATTTATATCCCGCCCTACCCCGAAGGCTCAGGGCGGCAGACAAGGGCACAGTGTGCCAAGATTATAATAAAAACAAATAGTATAAAACAGTAAAATACAATACAGATTTACAATACAAATGTAAACAAAAGACGGGTAGATCTTAAACGCAGCGGTAGCTTTCCTGAAATCTATCATCCACTTTGTGCCAGGGACACCTTGCCCCCCAGTGGAATCCAGACAATTGTGGTGATAGTACAACGGTGCATAGATGGCAATGGTGGAATAGTGGTGGCGGCGGCTCCTACTCAAAGGCCTGGCGGAAGAGCTCCGTCTTGCAGGCCCTGCGGAACTGAGAAAGGTCCCGCAGGGCCCGGATCTCCTCTGGGAGCTCCTTCCACCAGGTAGGAGCCGCCACCGAAAATGCCCTGGTTCTGGTGACCGCAAATTTAGCATCTCTAGGGCCTGGAATTTCCAGAAGATGACGACTCCCCCACCGTAGTGCCCTTGGGGGAACATATGGAGAAAGGCGGTCCCTCAGGTAGGCTGGACCCTGGCCATAAACACACACATACAGTAAAGGTGAAATTGAAGCCGGGTGGGGGACGTGGCGATACCTGTTGAAGTTAATTCCAAGGCTTGCTTTAAATAAAACCGTGCCTTGCTTTTGACCTAGATGCGCCTGAAGAAGCATCGCTGGTATAAGAAAATACTGAAGACTCGCGATCCTTTGATTCTCTCGTTGGGCTGGAGGCGGTTTCAAACCATCCCCATGTATTACATCGAGGACCACAACGGTCGTCACAGGCTGCTCAAGTATACACCTCAGCACATGCATTGCGGAGCGTCTTTTTGGGGTAAGGAGAAACACATCGGCCCCGAGATCCTCAACTTGCTGGCTTGTGGGGAAGGGCCAAGAGCCTCTGGGGGTGGGGTGGGGGAGGAGATGGACCTGATTTATTAAAACAAATGTTGAGAAATGGCTGGTAACCTCACACAACAGTGTAGGATCGTGTGAAATGCAAAGAGGTTTGTATGTAGGAGGCCAGGACCAGGGGTCATTTAGTAGAAAAAGAGGTGCAGGAGCTCATGAGCATAACTTATTTGCATATGCCACACCCCCTGACATCACCGGAAGTGTGTCAGAAGGCAACACCCACCGCTCAGGCTCCACTGGACTGTTTTGGATTGCTAGCTATTGGCGGGAACGCGCAGATCTGCCCTCACAGAGGAGGGAGAGCGTGTACCTGAAGGCGGGCCGGGGGGGGGGGTTTGCAACTTACCTGGCTGCTTCTTGCTCCTCATGGCCCAACTGAGGGCTGCTGGGAGCAGGGGGTGGGGCTTGTTGCATGTGCCTGCCCCCTGGGCTCCTTACGGCCAGAGCTCCGCTCCTGTGCGCTCCCGCAGGAAATGACCCCTGGCCGGGACGGTCTTGAAAATTGCTTGTTCCTCCGGCCAGAGGCTTCTGCACCTAAGTGTTGATTGGTGACAATTGAGTTTGCGTAATAATTTCATTTTCTCCAGATCATCTTGCTGGGTTGTGTCAGAAGTGTTTCAAACAGGGGTGGGTGGGATCAGTTGAAGTCGGCGGTCAGTAAAAGCTTGGTCATCTGGTATTCGTGGGGAATGGGGGGTGCTGGTTAATCAGGTGTGCTGAGTACCTGAGCTTATTTACTGCCCTGCCGTCTGCCCCCCCTCCTGTGCCCAGACCCGAGGATCCCTGTTGTGCTTCCGTCATCCTGTCTGTCACGGCTCAGGTGGGAGTGTCACCTGACGCTGCCACCACTCTGGATTTAGGTTCCCTTGAGAAGGCCCAGAGCACCCTCCCAAGACCTTCAGACCTCCCTTTTGGCCGAATAACAGGCGGAGTACAACAAGGAAAAGGTTTATTTTATAGGAGGTCAAACAAACCGGGTGCAGAATTATAACAGTCAGTGGGTGAAAAGGAAAGAAATCAAATGCCCTAACGCGTCTAAATATATACTGTCCCTAGCTCACTATTCCAAGTGGCACTAGACTACTCACTCTTCCCTCAGGATGAGGGTTTCTTCCCTGCAGCAGCCTTCCTTCTGGCTCTGCCCTCTGGAAGAAAGAACAGCTTCTGCTCTGGCACCAGCCCTTTTGTTCCCCAGCCCTCTTCTTCCCTATTGGTCAATTTTGGCTCCAAAACGTCTCAGGGGCTTCTGGGAGTTGTAGGCCCAGCCTCACCTACTGCTAGCTAGGCTCCCTGGGCCTAGTAGGCCTCTGGTGGCACAGCCCAGATCATGACACTGTCTTTTGAGATTTCATGTTGCTTTTAGCAGGGAAGAGATGCGCCCTTAATGACCCTAACGGAAGATTTCGGCTAATCTTGTCTTTCAGGTCCTATCACTCCACAAGGGACAGGGTGTCTGGCAATCCAGTCAGTCAGTGGGACGACGGTAAGTGTTTCCCCACCGACGGCTTCTGATCGGCTTAAGATAATGATGGATTTCATTCATGAAGCGTGACATTAAATCCGCTGGTATTTTTAAGGGAATAGTTTCTGGTGGGTAGCCGCATTTGGTCAGAACAGCAAGATTGAAGTTCGGTAGCTCAGTGGCAGAGCCGTCCACGTGGCGTGAATAAAGTCTCAGGTTCATTCCCGGCATCTCCAGTGAAAGGGATCGGGTAGTGGGTGATGGGAAAGACCTCAGCCTGAGACCCTGGAGAGCCACTGTAGGCAAAGATCTGATTCGGTATAAAGCCGCTTTCATGTGTTCACCATTAAAGACCAACAAGATTTCCAAGGTATAAGATTTTGAGATCCAGATGTTGCTTTATGAGATACAGCAGCCTCATATCTAGTGAAGGGAGCGTTGACTCTCCAAACCTTACACCCTGGAAGTCTGTGTGTGTGGTATTTTCGTGTGTGTGTGCCCGTGCCTGAAAGTCATGGCGACCTCTGGCGACTCCTACTGGGGCATGGAGGACGTTTAGAGAAGTGGCTGATACAGCCTGCCTTTGCCTCCCGGCCCCGGTATTCTTTGGACGTCTCTCATTCCAGTACATGATCGAGGTTTATAAGATTATGCATGGGATAGAGCAGGTAGAGAAAGAGGTCCTTTCTCACAATACAAGAACTCCTGGGCACTCAATGAAATTGCTGAGCGGTCGGGTTAGAACGGATAAAAGGAAGTCCTTCTTCACCCAAAGGGTGATTAACACTTGGAATTCACTGCCACAGGAAGTGGTGGCGGCTATAAGCATGGACGGCTTCAAGAGGGAATTAGATAAGCATATGGAGCAGAAGTCCATCAGTGGCTATTAGCCACAAGGTATAGATAGGGACTCTCGGGCTGGGGCGAGGGATGATCTGTATTTTTGGTGCTGGGGGGGGGGCAATGGGGGTGGGCTCCTAGTGTCCTGGCCCCACTGGTGGACCTCCTGATGGCACCTGATATATTTGGCCACTGTGTGACACAGAGTGTTGGACTGGATGGGCCTTTGGCCTGATCCAACATTGGCTTCTCTTATGTTCTTATGTTACTTTCCAGGGTCGGCCCTGCTTAGCTTCCAAGATCTGATGAGATCGGGCTTGCCTGGGCTATCCAGGCCAGGGCTTATACCCTGGAAATCTTGTTGGTCCCTGAAGTACTACTATGGAATGAGTACCACTTATACTTAGAGAACAGCAAGTTCAGTACTGATGCCATACTGTGACTTGGCTAGTAGTTTATGGGTCCCTGAACATAACGAACCAAGAATTGGGCTATATTCTCTCAAGTCTAACATCTTTTGATTATTATGGGTTTTCTGTGTCCGGACCCAACGGACTATAAGTCACCAGTGTCCTTAGCTTCCAAGATCTGATGAGATCGGGCTTGCCTGGGCTATCCAGGTCTGGGCTTATACCCTGGAAATCTTGTCGGTCCCTGAAGTACTACTGGATCCAGAGCTTGCCCTTTAATGGAATCATGTTGTATTTAAGCGGTTGCACAATTACTACATTGCACTTGTGCATTCTGGGAAATGTGCCCCCAGCCCTCCGGCAAGGGCCCTGCTTGGCCCCAGAGGCAACCCTTCTTCCCCATGGCAGAGAGAAGGAGGGATTCTCGGGTCCGGCTGCTGCGCTCTGGAGCAAGCAGAAGCACTCTGGCCAGCTCGAGAGCCCCGTTTGACAAACTTCCAGTTAGTAGAGGGGAAGGAGGATTTCTCAGGTTGCTTCTCCGGTCTTCGGGGCAGGCAGAAGAAACCGAAGAGACTCTCCACTTCTGCATGCTCTGAAGCCTCGTTGCAGTCTGGGGAATCCTTCTCCTCAAGTTCTGTGGCACGCAGAGAGGTCTTAGAACAGGAATACTCACTCAGTGGCTTGGGTAACCCCTATTGCTATTTGGTGTGCCCTTCCCATCCACCATGGCTCTTCTCAGCACTGTTCCCCCATGTGGTCCTTGCCCCATGTTTCAGGAGAGAGAGAGAAAGACCCTTGCCTGGTGGGGCTTGTGAAGAAGAAGAGAAGGTTGGATTTATACCCCGCCCTTCACTACCCAAAGGAGTATCAGAGCGGCTTACAAACTCCTTTCCCTTCCCCCTCCCCACAACAGGCACCCTATGAGGGAGGTGGGGCTGAGAGAGCTCTTGACAGAAACTGCTCTTTTTTCAAGAACAGCTCTTATCAGAACTACGGCTTGCCCAAGGTCATCCAGCCAGGTGCAAGTGGAGGAGTGGGGAATCAAACCCAGTTCTCCCAGGTTAGAGTCCGCACACTTAACCACTACAGCAAACTGGCTCTCCTTAAGGATTGTCAGGTTGTTCCTACCTTGGAACAGCCATTGCCAGATGAAGAAGAGATTGGATTTATACCCCGCCTTTCACTTGGAGTCTTAGAGCAGCTTACAAACTCCTTTCCTTTCCCCTCCCCACAACAGACACCCTGTGAGGTAGGTGGGACTGAGAGAGCTCTTTTGAGGACTGCTCTTTCAAGGACAGCTTTTGTCAGAACTATGGCTTGCCCAAGGTCATCCAGCCAGGTGCAAGTGGAGGAGTGGGGAATCAAACCCAGTTCTCCCAGGTTAGAGTCCGCACACTTAACCACTACACCAAACTGGCTCTCAGGGAACAGGGAAGCTGTGAGCCTTCCTGAGGTGCAGGCCTCAGGCCAAGGATGGAAGTAAACATGACTCTTTTGGTTGAGGGTAATTGCAAAGGTAGGAGCTGCGGTGGCTCAAGTGGTTAAGACGCTGAACTGCCGGCTGTGGAAGGTTGGTAGTTCAGCAGTTCGAGACCCGAGTGCCACATGACGGAGTGAGCGCCCGTCTCTAGTTCCAGCTCCTGCCAACCTAGCAGTTCGAAAGCAAGAAATTGCAAGTAGATAAATAGGTACCACTTCGGTGGGAAGGTAACAGCGTTCCGTGTGCCTTGGTATTTAGTCATGCCGGCCACATGACCACGGAAACATCTTCGGACAGCGCTGGCTCTTCGGCTTTGAAACGGAGATGAGCACCGCAACCCTAGAGTCGGATTCGACTGGCTTTCGAGTAAGGGAACCTTTACCTTTACCTGTGTCCAGACCCAACGGACTATAAGTCACCAGTGTCATTTTCTTTCAGCCCGATTTCCGGATAGCGGCTACTGGAGTTGTGCTTGACTTGGATAAGTCAATAAAGGTTGTGAAGAAACTGAAACTGATTGGCTTCCCATTCAAAATTTACAAGAATACGGCATTTATCAAGGTAAGTGTCTTAAAAGAATATCTGCAGACATATGAGAGCTACATCTTCAGTCTTTCTGAGTGCAGATTAAATGCTGTTGGGATTCTTAGATTCAGGATCGATGGTCGTATTGCAAACACAAGAGCCACACTTCTTAAAAGAAAAAAATATATCTTTACTATAAAGCAAAATAAAACATGGGTATGGTACTTTGGATAAAAGAAATAAAATAAAAGGTTACATACTAGCAGTTACTTCCTGTAATATATGCTAACAGCTACATCTTTCTATGTGTGTTGGCTTCCAGTAGAGAACTTCCTCTCTTGTTCACACAAAGGGCCATAAACCTTGTGAATACATTAATGCTAGATCAAAGCATTTCCACAAACAAGTTGTTAGTTAACCAATACAAAGGTTACAGGTCACTTCATTAGGATAAACAACTTCCATAAACTTTCCTGCCTTGAATACATTATGTAACGTAACATCCTGTTTCCTAACAAACAACATTTAACTCTGTAATGGCTGAAGTGTAAGCAAGTTGCAGTTCCAACAAATGCTAATAGCATGCCACATTGGCCAAAGGCTTCAAAGGTGAGGGAACTCTATATGGCACGTCAGGCATTCCCAGAGTTCCCCGTGCATCATGGGGAAGCCATTTTGGAATCTGAGGAGATTTTCAAAGTCAACTCATAATATTGCCTCAGATTCTGCTGTTAAAAGAAACATCCCACCGGGCATGCCCAGGTTCCCCTAATGTAGCACTTCGCATAGATTGAGTGATTGTGTTTGTACAATATATATATTTTTTCTAAGTTTCCAAAAAGTGCCACACGATAAGTGGGCAGCCTTTTCACAAACCACTTCATTCATTACTCTTTCACGGCGTACAGGGGATGTTCACCTCCGTCCTGGAAGTGGCCAGGTTCGAAGGTGCGGCCCTCCGGACCGTGAGTGGAATCCGCGGACAGATCAAGAAGGCCCTGCGGACCCCTGAGGGAGCTTTCAGGGCCACCTTTGAAGATAAGCTGCTGATGAGTGGTAAGCAGAGTCATTCCTCTTCCGTACGTGAAGCTTGTTTGAGAGGAGGATTGTTTCAAGTGGCTCTCCTCAGGCACTGCCGCAATTCACGTTTGCATTCCCAAATTCCTGTCCGTGGAACTCGTTTCACAGTTATTTCTGTGATGGTAAATTGCTGAAATGGTAATTCAGTGGATTCATGTGTGCAAGGAGAACTGTTTGTTTGAAATGGCACCATTCTTTAAAGCTACCACGTCAGGGATAATAGTTGTTTTAACTTGTGCACTTAATAAGGAAACTGAAGTCTGAGTTTCACTGTGTGGTGAGCACACAAGACGAGGGCCTTTTTGGTGGCAGGCCCGTGGTTATGGAACAGTCTCCCCAGGGAGGTGTAGGCCTGGTGGAACGGTTCTGTCTTACAGGCCATGCGAAACTAAGAAGTCTCGCAGGGTCCTGATCTCAAACGGGATCACTTTCCACCGGGCAGGGGCCAGGGCAGAAAAAGCCCTGGCCCTGGTTGAGGCTGAGGGTGCGGTCAGACGACGTGCCGGGAGCGGTGTAAATTGCTTCGGTCCAATGCGCTTTTTTTAAAACCTGGAAGAATTGCGATCTGTGTTCCCTCTAAGCTGAGTTAGTGTGAGCCAGCTCACAGTTTTTTAAGCCTCTGGCTCAGAGCCCACGACACGACCCGTGCATTTTTTTTAATAACAATTTTTAGTAGGATATAACATCCAATCAAACAATATAACATTTTTTTCAGTCATTTTATATCCTTTTCTACCCCTATCTTCCCCCCTCTTCTTCTGGCTTCCCGCAGTGCTCCAACCTCCCTCCTTAATTTTTCTTGATTCCCATTTCCCTTCACCTTTCATCTATTACTTAAACTTATTAGGTAACACTATTATCCTTATACACTTATACACATTCTAAATATCTTTCTATCAATAGTTGTCAAAGCTAAATAAGTTGTTCTTCGCCTTCCAATATTTCTCCAAATAGTCTTTGAAGTCTTTCCAATCTGCGAAAAATTCTTCTGCCTCTTGATTGTTAAGTTTTCTTGTCATTTTGTCCATTTCAACCATGAAAGTTAACTTTTTTTATCCATTCCCAGATCTCTGGTACTTTTTCTTGTTTCCAAGATTGAGAATATATCATTCTAGCTGTTGTAATCATATCAATGCACTTTTTTTTAACCTGGAAGAATTGCGATCACACTCACCTCCTTGTTCCGGATCACCACGCAGCCACATCACTCCCCACCATCCACGCGGGCTTTTCCCCTCCCCGTTTGGGCCTGCGCACAGGCAGCCATCTTTAGTATTGAGTTTGTTATTCAATTCCAGACTCAATTTGTCCATTTCCGCAATGTCCAGTATTTTATGTTTAAGTTCTTTTATAGATGGTATATCTTTTGATTTCCACCGCCTTGCTATCAAGATCCTTGCTGCCGTCAATATGTATATAATTATAGATTTGTGATTTTTAATGCTATCCGGGATCATATTTAGTAGGTATATTTCGGGTTTTAAAGGGATATTAATTTTAAGTATAGGGGGGAAATGCGGCTGGAACCGGAGCAGCAGGAAAACACCACTTGGGGACCTGGTAGCAAAATACCCTGGTTTAAAGGGGGGTTGAGACGGTTAGGGACAGGAGGCAGATGTTGGCTCTTTGATCGCCAGTATAAACTCAGTTTCTAACCGGGCCGTATACCGGCTCAAATGGCCCGTCTGAACGCGCTCTAAGTGGACGTCCTTTGGGTCGGGGACAGCCAGAAGATGCTGGTCGGCTGAACGCAGGGCTCTCCGAGGGGCATACGGGGAGAGACGGTCCCTGTCAGCTACGCTGCCATGGGGGCTCTTAAGTGGACGTCCTTTGGGTCGGGGACAGCCAGAAGATGCTGGTCGGCTGAACGCAGGGCTCTCTGAGGGGCATACGGGGAGAGACGGTCCCTCAGATGCGTGTTCTTCACGTTGTAAACCTCCCTGAGTTCTGCAAGGAAGAAAAGGTAAAGGTTCCCTTGCTCTCAGCTTTAGCTACCTAGCGGTCTCCAAGCTTTATCCCGCGCGCGGGAGGGTGCCTAATTGGCCAGTGCTCTGGGGGGGGGGGTTGCGTATGAATACCCTATATCCTATTATGCCCATGGGGCCGCCGCCATTCTTAACAGTGCTTATGTTACTGCATCTATAGCTCTGCAATAAAAGTGTTACCGTTCCTGAATGCGTGTACTTCGTTGTTGGCTGTGGGTTCTGACAGTCCCTTAGATGCGTGTTCTTCACGTTGTAAACTTCCCTGAGTTCTGCAAGGAAGAAAGGCAACTAATAAATCTTTTAAATGAATGTATTCTCTCCCCCCCCCCATTATTCCTGATCGAAGACGATTTCTATCACTTTTTAATCTTCCTCCTCTCTCCAGACAGCTAAGAGCAGTGTCCGTGTTTCTCCCTGCATACATTTTGTTCTTACCACAACAGCTTCCTTATCTGCGTAGGGAAGGCCGAGGGAGAATGTGACTGGCTTCTGGCCACCCAGCAGGCTCGATGGCTGAGGGAGGATTTGAACACGGTTCTCACCAATCCTACTCTGACGTTCTTAACTGTTAACGCCTAACCGGCCTTTGGCGGTTTTTGGTTCATGGATGCTAAATTTGTCATCTAGTGACCAAACGTCATGACCATACAGTCTTCCTTTTAAAATCTGGAGTAAACGCCCGGTTTGGAGACAGCATGTTTCTGTCTCCTTTGCTCAAGGATATTATGAGGGAGTTTCACATCTTCTTCTGTTGGCTGTATTTGTGCAGGGGGAAAAGACAGTTAATTGGTTTACAAATGGCAGGACTGGTGTAGACAGGCAGCAGAATGAGATGTTAGAAAGGATCGCACCATTCAGGCTGCGGGGGGTGGGGGGTTGAGGTTCAGTATATCCGTCCTTCTGTGCAACGTGGAATTCTGGTTACTTTTTTCCTCTGTTAGCAGCTCTGCACAGTTCGCCTAACTGAGAGCCGCTGCGTCCAAAGCTTCACCTTTCTCTTCTCGTTCCAGACATTGTCTTCATGCGGACTTGGTACCCCGTATCCCTCCCGACCTTCTACAATCCGGTCACTTCCTTGCTGAAGCCTGTGGGTGAGAAGGACTCTTGGACCGGGATGAAGACGACAGGGCAGTTAAGACGCGAGAAGGGAATCAGGCTGAAACAGAACAAGGATTCCCTCTATAAGGTAGGTTCTTGTGGTCAGGATCTCGGAGTGGTGGTACCAACAGAAGGGAGGGGGCAGAGAGACCCCAGTTCTAATTTCCTACTGTGCCGTTAACAATGTTCCCTCTAAGCTGTGGAGTCTTGTGTGCAAAAATTCTACTTTGTGAGCCACTGGCATTAAAGCTGTGAGCTACTGTGATTTGGCTACTGCATAAATTAGTTTGATCTGGAGCCGTCCTCCCTGAGCTAAGACAAAAAAATCTGTGAGCTGGAGGCTAAAAAACTGAGCTAGCTCACACTAAATCAGCTTAGAGGGAACACTGGCCGTGAAGCTCTCTGGGGGACCTGGGGATGTTCGTGCACTTTCAGCCTAGCCTTCCTCCACAGGGTTGTTGTGAGGATGCAACGGAGATGGGGGAATCGTGCGCACGACCCTGAATTTCTTGGAGGAAGGCTGAGATTAAAATGTCCTAGGTGTACCCAGTCAGCCGAAATCTAATCGCGACTCCAAATCCACTGTCTTTTAAAAATGTAGAACAAAGTTTGAGTCCAGTGGCACCTTTAGGACCAACAAGGCTTAATTCTGGGTGTGAGCTTTCGTGTGCAACGCACACTTCTTCAGATACCACTTCAGATACTGAAGAAGCGTGCACAAGGTCGGTAGTTCAGCAGTTCAAGACCCGGGTGCCGCAAGACGGGGTGAGCTCCCGTCTCTAGTTCCAGCTCCAGCCAACCTAGCAGTTCGAAAGCAAGAAACTGCAAGTAGATAAATAGGTACCACTTCGGTGGGAAGGGAACAGCGTTCTTTTTGCATTGGTGTTTAGTCATGCCGGCCACATGACCACGGAAACGACTTCGGACAGCGCTGGCCCTTCGGCTTTGAAACGGAGATGAGCACCGCAACCCTAGAGTCGGATTCGACTGGCTTTCGAGCAAGGGAGACCTTTACCTTTATATTAGAAGAGTATTCACACTGGCCCGTTTTAATGTGCTCCCCTCAGCTGTGTTATATGGGAGGTTTTAAAAAATACCATTCCCAGACAGTTTATGTCCCTGTGGGCTAAAGGAGATTGAAGGAACGGACCCTGTACTTCTGACTTGTAGATTTTACCAGCATTTTCACGCTTATCACCTCGGCCCTATACTGCAAACCCTGGGGGGCAAATCTGAGGAAAGTAAGATAATGAACCTTCTAGCCTCAAACAGGACTGATACCATCAAAGAGGTGGCAAACTCCCTTTACAGAGCGTATAGGAAGAGAAGTTCTTTTTTGGCAGAAGGGGTAGTGAATTAACTGTTTTGCGTGCCTATCGCCTCTGTACCTAAGGCTGCTGCTGCTGTCATGCCAATAAAGGTTTGTTGTGTTGAGTTGAAAGCTTATACTCAGAATTAAACTTTGTTGGTCTCAAGGGTGCCACTAGACTCAGACCTTGTTCTCCTGCTTCATACCAACACGACTACCCACCTGAATCTATCTTTTAAAATGTTGTTAGCTTCGCACTTGGTTTGCACTGCTTAGCTTCTGAGATCTGACGAGATCAGGCTTGCCTGGGCTATCCAGGTCTGAGTGAACCCAACTCTCCTCCTCCAGTTTGGTGTTGTGGTTAAGTGCGCGGTGTCTAATCTGGGAGAACCGGGTTTGATTCCCCACTCCTCCACTTGCACCTGGCTGGATGACCCTGGGCAAGCCGTAGTTCTGATAAGGAGTTTGTAAGCCGCTCGGTAGTGAAGGGCGGGGTATAAATCCAATCTCCTCCTCCTCCTCCTCCTCCTCCTCCTC